ATTAAAGTATATAATTATTTAATTTAATTACTAGTTATTAATATAAATATTTTTAATAAGTCGGTTATTAAATTTTTTTAAATAAGAGTAGCTATCTTTTTTAAATAAAAAGTACTAAAAACATTTATTATTTAAATATTTTACTTAGAATAATTCTTTATAAAATATATCCTTAGTATTAAATAAAAAGCTATTTCTTTTTATTTAAAGTATTATAAAAACTTTTTTTAGTTCCCTTATTTTATAAAATTATAAAGTTTATTTATTATTAAAAAAGTTAATATTTTTATATTGATTTTTATTAAAATCCTTTTTAAAACTAATATTATTAATACTAAAATAAGATTTATAACTAATTTCTATTTAAATATATTATTAAGTAATATTACGAAGTTTATTTAAGTTATATAATAATTCTTTATTAAAAATAAGTTTATTAGAACTTATATAGGGTTTTTTATTAAATTCAAAATTAATCTTTTTTTTAACTTTTTTAAAATCGAGATTTAGTTTTCTAATTATTTTAATTTTATTTTATATAATAAGTTTTTAAGTTATTTCTTAACTTTATAAATAAATTTCTTATTACTATCTTCTTATTCTATTATATAAATAGACTTAGTTAAGATCTTTACTTTTTATATTAGAATTTCTTTTTTTAATTAAAGTAGATCTTTTTTATCTTTAGTAGTTATTTTTTATTAAAGTCTTTTTATTATTATTACGAGCGTTTATACTTATCCGGGGTAGTTATTAAGTTATATTCTAATAGCTCTATAAGCTATAAACAAAATTTAAATATATTTTTTATTACGTTTTTCGAGAGTTTTTTATAGTTTTATAATATTTTATTTATAAGTTATAGTAAAAGTCTTAGTTTTTTAAAATATTTTTAAGTACTATTCTATTTATTCTTTATTATTTTAGTATATAAAGTAGTTATTATTATAGTAAGATATTTATAAAAGTTATTTATAAAGAACTTTTTTACTTATTATATTAGCTTATTTTTTAAAAATAGGTTAGTATTAAATATATTTAGGTTATTAGTAATTTCTAGCTATATATTCTAACTTATTATAGTTATAATACTTAAATTTTTTTTTAAATAATTTTCGTTTTTTTTAGTAATACTAAGTTCTATAGGGCCGTTATATTATTTATAAGTAGTACTTTGTTAATTCTTATTTTAATTATTATAGGATCGTTAGTTTATTTAAAAACTATACTAAACTTATTATTAGTTAGTTTTTATAAAATAAACTTACTAAATAAAAGTAATTAAAATATTATAACTAGCTAATTATAATAAATATATTAATAAAAATTAAGGCTATGAGTATTAAGTAAATAATATTATAATTATAAATAGCTTTTCTAAAGTTATATTTATAAATCGTAAAATAAATAAGGTTTTAGTAATTAATTATAATTTTATTAAAAAGGGTTCTTAATAAAAATAGTTAAAAATAATTATAAAATTTAATATTAAGTTAATTATTAAAAAAGTTATAAAAAGTTTATTCTTAAGCTTAGTTCGAGGTTATATTATATATAAGTTTTATTTAAAAATATATTTTTTATAATATTACTATTTATAATTACTTAATTATTTATTAAATAGTTATTTATTTTATTTATATATAATTATTTATTTTATTTTTTTATAAGTATTTATTTTTTATTTTATTATATAATCGTAGTTACGTAACTTATTTATAATTTTTTTATCTTAAGAGGAGTTATTTTAAGTTCGTTCTTTTTATATATATAGTATAATAGCCGCTATAGGTCCTATAGGGCAGCCCCTAGCCTTATTATATTTATTAAGTTATAATAGCGAGCTTTATAATTATTTAAAACTATTTATAAAGCTTAGTTTAAATAATAATACTTAATAATTACTATTTAGAAAAATAAAAGAAGTTTTTAATAAGTAAGCTTATTACTTAGTTATATTTTAATATTAGGTTCGAGTTTTAGAGATAAAAATTGAGTATATAAGGCTTAAAAAGAAAAAGATTATTTAAATAAATTTAAATATTAAGTTCGTTAATATTTAAAATATATAGAGAGCTTAGGAGGACTTTAGTAACTATTTAGCTAGTCCTAATTAACTTATGGGGGTCGAATTACTTAGGGATAATATTAACTATATTATTATAGTAATAGAAAATATTTAATTAATTAAGTGTAGTTAGTAGCGATGTTTTGATGCCATGTTTGTTGGGGGGCCCATAAGTGGGTGCTTTGACTTAAGGCCAGACTTCTTTCCTACCGGACTCTTCAAGACTTGCTACATGAACACGCTCCGTAATCTATCCTAGTTAGATCCCTTTTCACGCTTACAAGCAACCTAACCGGGTATCAATATAGGTAATCTGCCGTTTTGCCTACTCGTTTCTGCCACTATTATTGCTTTGGCTCTTAAGCTCTCTTGGAACTGATGTATCCTTTTTCTGACATGCCTTCAAACTTTTAGGAGTTGGATGGCACAATGAAGATAGTAGTGATAGGGAAGTTAGGTAGTGAGTTATCTGATGTCTAGCAAATCATTGAGTTACTGTCACGAAACATCAATGGTCTTGAGACGCAGCAGCCGCTTTGTCACGTGCTACTCCATGTGGATCTCACATTCGTTCAGTACCTACGTAGACTGCTCTCTCTTCTTTGTTTCAGATAGGATGGTTCGAGCCACTTTTAACCCACTTCAAATGCCCATTGCTGCGTGCCATAACTCGTGACAGTTACCTGAAGTAAGGTAATTACTGCCTAAGGTTCTAGCTTCTATGGGAATAGTGCTCTCATTTTATAGGTCTTCTCAAAAGCGTGGGGAAACGAGAACTCCCATAAATTTCTACCCTGAAAGTCTAGAGAAATAAAGTAGCTATTGGTGATCTTGCTGCTGACTCAAGAGGCCAAGAACATGTATCGGCGTGAGTGCCGTAGTCATGGGTTTCAACCCCGCCTTGTCCATCGTCATGCCTAAACTCAAAGTTGGAGTACGGTGGATTTCCTGGGGTCCCCGCGAAACGGAAAACATCACCCGCATGGGGGTTTCTCGGGGTTTCGGCAGAGTCGGAGAACAACGGTGATCAAATACCCACCTACGAGTGATTGATGATAGGTATCCGGAGCTTAAGAAGACGTAACCGTCCGACCCAGAACTTCCGATGAACTTTTCCTTTTCAAGCCTGCGTGTCCATGAAACCTTGAAGATTCACCTCAACTACCTGAAGAGTTGCCATCAAGTCGTGAAACCAATGCACTTCACCTAGACAGCATGGCTGAGCCCACAATCCTCATCATAGGTGGTGGGACATTCGGCACTTCCACGGCCTATCACCTCTCTCAAACCTACACAGACGCCAGTCGCGTGACTGTAGTCGACCGGTGGGCACCATCCGACCCTGGAGCAAACAAGGCCGCCGCAATAGACGTCAACCGAATCATCCAAACAAATTACGTGAGACCGCTTTATTGCAACCTTGCCAGCGAAGCAATTCATCCATGGTTTTGGGATCTTAATCTCGGCCATTTCTTTCACAAAACCGGGTGCGTGACAATCGACGAAGAGGATAACCAGTTTTCCGACGCCGTGCGAAAGACACTCAAGCAAAGAGGATCTGACTATACCGTTGATGCCAATGTTGATGATTTCGGAAAGCGGTGGAAGCCCTTCAAGGGACTAGACACTCGTGGGTTAGGAACGGCATTCTTCAATCCAGAAGCTGGATGGTGCGACGCAGCACTGGCAACACAAAATCTGATGGCTGCGGCGAAACGAAACGGAGTAAGAACAATCACTGGCGAAGTGGAACAGCTGATATTTGATCCACTTCTTGGACGAGTACTTGGTGCAAGGATGAAAGACGGCCAGCGACTGACGGCAGACCGAATCGTCTTGTCAGCAGGTGCATGGACAAGTGGTCTACTTGCGCCAATAGAAGCTAAGCTGCGTTTCGCACCCCACGACCAGATTGAACGGCAGATCACAGCAGTTGGCAGGGTCTCAGCTTACTACAAGCTCTCGCCCGAAGAAACAGAACACATGTGCGCAGCCGGAATGCCCATCATCATCTATAAGTCCTGCGGGATCTTAACGCCGCCGTCACGGGAAAACCGAATTATGAAGATCAATGACCTTCAAACCGAGTTCGTCAATCGGGTTGCTATATTTGCAGAGCATGTTGTATCAATTCCGTCTGAAAGAGCACAGCAAGATGTGCCGCAGAAGTTGAAAGATGAAAGTCAGAAGCTCTTGAACACCATGATGCCTGAGTTTGCGCAGGACAAGAGCCCAGATCGATGGCGAATATGCTGGGATGCAAAGACTCCTACAGAAGACTGGTTACTTTGCCGGCATCCGAACTCACAGCTCGAAAACCTCTTTCTAGCCGTCGGAGGGAACTTTGACACATACAAGTAAGTGAACTTTCTTCCAAGGGGTGATGCTTTCAGGGTAGATCTGACTGACAGATCCACTCCAGGTTCCTCCCAATTGCTGGCAAATACATGTGTCAGATCTTGCAAGGGAAGAGCAACGGCCGGGAAAAAGATGCCGCATGGGGCTGGAAAGATGAAGCCACCTTAATGAATGCCATGAAGAAAGAGCTGGGCCCCAAGTCAAGTACTTTGCCATTACCTGAGTTCCGATCGTTTGAAGAGGGTAAGCGGTCATCCAAACTGTAGTTGGACATGGATGTGTCAAGTATGTCGTAGACCCACACAAAATAATCCAAATAAAGCCATGTCGTCCTCAAGATCTCAAACACAAGTAGAGCGCGGGTGCATAACTACTATGAGATGGTTTTGGCAAATGAAACGAGCTAGTATCTGACCTGGAAACCATCTGGATGCTGCAAAAGGGGAGCATCACTAGCCTCGAATGGAAACTTTCTTCCAACATGCCTGACTAACTCCACATGCTCCTCGCTCCGAGGTACGACTCTCACTTGGAAGGCCGTGGGATATGTCAAAATGCCGGGCTTCGGTCTTACCTCGACCTCAATTTCCTTGCCATTCTTATCTAATGCCTTAGCGATCGTGAAAGCGGCGAGTGTTTGGGCCACATTGATAAAGAGGCTTGAGTCGGCAAAGAAACGTCCGGGGCATATCCTGCGGCCGTACCCAAAGACCTCTGTCGTGGGATCAGCTTCATTCCGTGGGGGTAGAAAGCGGTTAGGATCGAATGATTCTGGGTTGGCGTAAACACTTGGGTCGTGAAGGAACCACCAAACAGCCGGGAGAACAAAAGCGTCTTTGGGAATTCGATACCCTTCATACTCAAATTCCTCCGTCGTTGTATGAGGAAAGCTCATGGGAACAATGGGCCACCACCTGGCAGTCTCCTTGACCAAAGCATCCACATACGGCAATTTGGAGCGGTCTTCGAAGGTCGGAAGGCGGCCAGAGCCGATCACCTGATCAATCTCCGCCTGTGCTTTGCGCTGAACGTCGGGGAACTCTAGCATGGCCAGCGCAAAAGTGCTGAGAGTGATGACAGTTGTATCCGCAGCCGCGCCGTAAAGACTTGCCGCTGACCAGATGACAGCCTTTTCATCTTCTTTGCTTAACCCGCCCTTTTCGTCTTGTGCCAGCTGTTGGGATAGTTTTGACACATAAGAGGGTCTATTTGAGAAACAGGACAACTGTTGTTGTACAAATTCGTACGGGATATAGGCCGACGCTTGAATGGATTTACGCCATTCCCTGGCAGTCTTTTTGAAAGAGGCACCCGGGAAACTTTCAGGAAGGTATTGAAGAACAGGAATGATATCTACGAGCCAAGCCATCGGACTTGCGGCAAGAGAAAACTCAGTCATCATCTTTTCAATGAGCTCTACGAGTGCGTCCGATTTATGGGGTTCGATGGTGTAGCCATAAGCCATCTGGAGAACGGTGGCAGCGGCAGTACTGGTATAAATCGACCATTAGCTTTCGATCTGTTTGCTAGATCCCTGCCTAGACTCACGTCTTGTAATGCTCTAGGAGACTCTCAGGCCTCTCCAGGGACCGCACTAATTGTCGGCCTACTTCGCACTCCTGAACGTTGCGGAACTGCGATGCAGAGACCTTTGTACCGAGCTCTTGGTGAAGAAACTTGCGATAGCGTCGAAACATGGGCGTATAGCCTTGGCAAAGAACGATAGATTCGTAGCCGCAAAGCTTGTTGGCCATGACCATTGAGGGTCGACCTGACGTTTTACTTGCAGTTTGTTCCAGCAAATCATGCGCCATGTTCTTATCGTGGACAATGATGAGAGTCATCCCCATGACCGTTACCGAACTGATTGGTCCATATAGATCCTTATGCTTGAGCCAGTGTAGATGCTCTGGTGTGCCTTCAGGAGGGAAATCTCGGATGTTACCCAGCAAAGGGAGTGGCTTTGGTCCGGGAGGAAGTCTTCGTTGGTTCGGTTTCCGCCTGCGACTGCAAACAACAAAGCTCGCTAGAGCGAGTATGCTCCATAAGAACCACAGCGTATAAGTCATATTGGCAAACAGTTCATGGCCTCGGCCGAAACAATGTCAAGCTCGATCCCGAGCTCAAGTGAGGAGAGCTTGAAAAGAGAATGAAGATGAACGTTTTGATATGGGATGATGTACGTATGAAGCAGGTCCAGTCTATTCGCTTACCTGCCATCTTGCTTCCTGCGCAAACCAAACACGAAGGGGAACCTGGACATCATAATCAGAAGAAATGTGTACGGATACCATGGATCCGAGGCCGGGATGACTGCGTATTGCCAAATTGAAAGGATCTTGTCGATAATGCAAGGGTAACACTCAACATGTTATTTCCAACAACGACTTCCGGAAGCCACTGTTGGTTTGGATGAAGACTGCTTTGGACCTGACATCAAATTACCAACATGCACTAGTGTGGCATCATCTGGGGTACGTTATTGGCTTGGCTGCAGTGTTGTGAGGTTCAGCCCCGTCCTCCACTGCAGCCCTTGAGCAGCCGATCCAATAATGAAACGCGCATTGCTGAAGACACGGGAGAACGGGCGTGGCGGAGATTGAGGTTGTCCGTCGTTTGGTGGCCATTGTCTCCAGATGGGGCACACCGCACCCGGGGTATTAACGGGCAAGACAAGGCCAGATCATGAGAAGCAGACCGATCACCGAAATAAGTAGCTGCACAGTACGGCGTGGATCTTTTGGACATGTCCGGGTGGGGTGAGCTGCCGGGGTAGGGCTGCTGGCTATATCACAAGCTTTCAACTGCTTTTCATGGTCTGATCTGATCAGATTGCTTTGGCACGTTTGCATTACGGGTCGCCAGATCGCTTCGTGTAAGTCACCTTACCTGAGATTATGATACTTACGTGTGGCTGCCAAAGGGAAGGTTGACTTTGGATGAGCACTTTCACATTGACAGAAGCACCCATCCTCATCTCAGGTGGTCAAAGGCAGTCTTTTGTGTAATCCGTTGACTATAGTTGAGCCCTGGATGAATACAAGAGCAGACACTCTTCAGCTTGCAGGATTGCAGGATTCATTCAGTGCACTTGCACCATCCCTGCTAGCTCCCCTGCGGCCGCTAAGGGGGAAGCGGGCCGGTCTGTGACGACGTTGCAATGGGGCCCCGATGTAGCTGCAGAGTATGAGGCAGGCATCTCTCGGTGTGATGTGATGGACTCTGTCATTTATCCTGCAGGAGTCCTAAACCGTATAGAATAAGAAGCGGCACCATTTGAAGAATTTCGCTGCAGACAAAAGGTCAAAAACTGGCGCGCCTCGATGCTGGCGCGGCCTGAAACTAGCCAGACTGGATTCCGCCCACATTTCGCCCCAAAGAGGCTTTTATCCGCCTTCGCGGCCAATGAGTCGGCTGATTCCTCGGACTTACTTGGCAAGGTCGAATCCTCATGCAGTGTGCCAGCCATTTCTGCAACTTGGTCACTTACGCATGGCGTTCCGAATTGGACTTTGGTTCAAGTTCCTGCTTGTTATGAGCGCCCCGTCTCCCTCACGCTCGGCTAGGTGATGTGGTATCCGAATTTTCAATCTCAATCGTGCCGAAAATGGAACCCTAGATCTTGGGAAGGGAGAGAGAAGCAGCATTTCCTTGCGTGATTCTACTAAACTCTTTCTCCCTGCCTATTTGATGAGATCAATAATTTGTTTTCAGACTTATTTGAATACCGTTATTCTCGACCCATCGTCAAGCTGGTATGAGGGCACTGTCGTAGACAAGTAGCCATGGGAAAGCTTCCAACCGAAGAAGACATCGCCTGGATGATGGCGCATATCAACGACTCGACGGTTCCCGACATTATTGTTTGCTGCATCATTTGCAGTATCGCTTCAGTCATTATCCTGGCCCTACGCATCTGGGCGAGATTCCAAGCTGGACTCAAACCCATTTTCAGTGACTGGCTGATCGTTGGTTCGGTGGTAATGCTATTTTGCTAGCAAGACGTAAGATTCACCGCGCTTACGACAGCCAATAGTTCTTCTATGTCGTCTTCTGCTCAGTTTTTGCTTTATCGACAAGATATGGAGCTGGCAGACACATCATCCTCATAACGGATCCGGAAACGATGCGCATGTTGGCTATCGTAAGTTGGCCTCTTTTTGTACTTCAAGTCCAAGGCCCCTAACGACCAATGCGGACGCAGGCTAATTTTTCGTCCTACAGCTAAATATTTGCAATCCGATTCTATATGGCGTTTCCAGCGTTCTTGTCAAATGGAGCATCCTCGCGTTATACCTTGCAATCTTTCCCCAAAGAAAGTTCCACTACTGGGTTCACTTCGTGAGCACCGTCAACTTGCTAAATGGACTCGCCATAATTCTCGTCAGCTGCCTGCAATGCCGTCCTCTAGAGGCCTTATGGAACACATCAGTGATGGGCACTTGCATCAACTTCAGTTATTTCAGCGTTTTTAATAGCGTCTTCAACTTTTTATTGGACGTGGTCATCCTTCTGACACCCCTACCGCTTGTCAAACAACTCAACTCGTCCACACGCAAGAAGATCTTGCTATCAATCAACTTTGCCTTGGGCGGAAGGTAGCACCAAGCCGGTTCAAGTCTCAGTGTCTTCTAGCAGTGCTAATAATCTGATATAGTGCTTGCATCATCGCAGCTATCCGCGTTCCTTACGCAAGACGAGTGGGAGGCACGGTGAACCCGAGCTGTAAGGGTCGTTCTTATAATCCTGTTCTTCATGCCGCACACCAGAAATACTGACCGAGCTTGTTGCCTCTAGGGGACATGATACCGGGAGGACTACTCTGCGTTGTTGAGGTTGCCGTTGCCCTCTTGACAGCCTCCCTACCTATATACCGCCCACTATTGGGTTGCCTAGGCATCACTATTACATCGAATTCCGCATCTAACTACAAACGAGGTAATTCGCGTAGTTCGAATAACTTCTTAGGCAGCCAAGTGAGCACCCACATCACTAGTGGCAGAGACATGTCATCTCAGCAAGCAGGTATAAGTATCACAGACGATATAACGTTGACGACACATACATATGTGGGAGGAGAATGGGTGCGTGTGGCAGACGAAGATGACGATGCTGCTGGTTTGGTTGTGCCAGATGATTCAGCGCCGTACGCACGAACGGTCAGCAGCACAATGAGTGATAAGTTTTATTAAGAAGTAGGCGCTTGTTTTTTTAAAAAAAAACCGTCCTCGACGTAAGATAGAAGTAGTACATCAACTCAGGTACTACGCACAAACGCGAGCGTTGTCATCCACTGACTGTCTGGCCAGACGGGACAACTGACAGACAGTTCCGAAAAGCTTGGGACTTGAGATCCATAGCAAATTGAACGTGTTCTCTTCATGCCATTCAAGCGCATTTACCTTTCTCTCTGACAGCTTGAAAGAGACATACCCCTATTCACCTCATCTAGACGCCTCTCATCCTCATGGCCGATTTGAAAATCTTCGCAAAGTCAGCCATATGCTCTTTGTTGAGCATTTTTGCATGAATGCCCGGGCAATTATGGAACTCTGCTCCTGTCCGCGTGAAGTCGACCCATCGTCCAAGTTTGTTTTCTCTCCAGTCTTGTCGGTCACGAGCCGCGTAAGCTGGCGGGTCCGCCACAAACACGTCTAGACTATTGACGTTGCCTAGAGGTTCATAGCTTTGTACATTGACACGGAAGTTCTCGGCAATGTCTGAGATCAGCGCAAGCCTTTCAACGCCAATGGCGAGAGCACTGGCACGTTCAGTATCGCCGACTCTGAGTACGTAAGACAGTGCTTCGTCGCGGTTGAGTGTGTGTAAGTGGGGCGTGATGTCTTTCATGGTCTCCTCGTTAATGAGCTCCAGGAAGAATGCAATGTGTGAAAGCACATCAATCCAATCTAAGCCGCGCACGTAATGCGCAATGTGTGGCGGGTAGTCGATACTAGCCAGGAATCTTACTTCTCGCCCCTGTTTTTCGAGCACCTTTCCGACCTCGAAGGCGAGCGTAGATCCAAGTGAGTAGCCTGCAATGGCATAGGGCCCCTGCGGCTGTGCCTTGCAGATTTCTGCTGCGTAAAGTTCCGCAGTCGCCTCGATAGAAGAGAAGAAGGATTCCCCAGGATTGTAACCCCGACTTCTGAGGGCATACACGGGACGGGTCGGGAAGTGTGCTGCAAGAGCAATGAACACGAGGATGTCTCCGCTCCCGGGATGGATACAGAACAAGGGTGTGCCAGACCCATTCTGTTGCAATGGCACAACCGGGGTGTAAACGATTGGATGTGATACGAGCCGGTCAATGGCGGATGCGATAGCGACGATAGTTGGCCTGTACGGATACCGAGTCAAGGATTAGCAACTGTGCCTCGGCCAGACAGGAGTAAGATAAGAAGGGTTGATAAAAAAGAGCTAGAAGAGAGTAACTTACTCTGTCAGCAAGAACGACATGGGCATGTCAACCTGGCCGCCAATCGCCCCCTGGATTCTGGATTTCAGAAGGATGAGATGCATCGAGTCGACGCCGTGGTCGAAGATGGACGTCTCCACGTCAATCTCCGCAACGGGCATCTTCAAAAGGTCGGCTAGTATGCCCTGCACAACCTTCTCGCTGTCAGTGTCGGCCCCCCGCCATTTGCGCTGTCTGTCTTTGTCAAGGAGCTGTTGGTCTTCGCGCTCAATCGGTCCGAATTGACCACTCTCGAGTGCAGCGCGGATTTTGGAGCGCGAGATCTTGCCCAGCGATGACTTCTCGAGCATTGATTGGGGTAAAGGCACTATCCGTTCTGGTTTTTTACCCGTTATCAAGGAGATCACCCTTGTAATTGCCCTTACCGTCTCAGAGCGCGCACCGAGATCTTCGTCACGGAATCGCGGGGAGTAGGCGATGGCAATACCCTCAGTCGGTGACCCAGCACTCCGAGTCGGGAAACAAATCGTGAAAGATGGAGTCATCCCAGGAATTCTCTCATCATCGAGTGCGCTTTCCAGCTCGGTTGCACTCCACTTAACGCCATTGACGATGATAGAATCCTTGATACGGCCAGCCAAATGAAGATTCCCGGCATCGTCGATCCATGCCAGGTCTCCCGTAACAAACCAACCGTCTGAACTGAAGGAATCTTCCGTCGCCTTTTTGTCGTTGTAATAGTGGCTGAACACCATCTTTCCAGTGACCTGGAGCTGGCCAGTGTGGCCTTTGGGAGCTTCATCCTGGGGGTCTTGGAGACTCATGACGCGCATTCTCATCCCTGGTATGCATAGTCCCACAGTCGCAAATTCTACAGAGCGTTGAATGTCGTATGAGGGGCAATGTCTAGAATAGATGGAACCGGCACATGTCTCTGTCATTCCAAATCCTGGGCGTATCACCTCGCCCTTGCAGCCAAGACGGCGGAATTCTCGCGTGAGCTCATGGCAAGTTGATGTAGGGTTTGACTCGCCGCCTGATATCAAAGCCCTCAAGCTGGAAAGATTTGCGGTGCAACCTGGACTCGAAACCAGAGTGTCGAGAACCATAGTCAAGAAGAAATTGGGCGCAAAGGTGTAAGTAACATTGCATGTGTCCAGAAGTCGAATAAACTGCATCGGGTCTCGGATCAGAGGCGACGCAGGAATATGAATTTGACTGGCTGCAAGGCTCACTAGAACGATGGAGGAGATTTAGTTTCTTGACTGGCCAGACATCGGAAAGATTTAGACGCAATTGAAGGGGCCCAAAGCCATCGCTTACTTGCATGAAAATGGATCTCTACCAAACTTGCAACATGGTCTAATCCGACCCAATTAAGAAAAATATCGGCAGTTGTGGTCTCGTGATATGCGCTTTTCCCATTGACGGCATCAAGGACTTGGCGATGCCGAAGCGGGACGGCTTTGACATTGCCCGTGCTCCCAGATGTCAACATTAGCGCGGCGATGCTGTCGGCACCTGCTTTTTGTCCGGCACCCTGACTTGCACACTGCTCATTGGAATCAACGCATCGAAGGTCCTCGACAGTTCTGACTTGCAATTCGCACGAATCAAGAAACTCAGCTGCAAGTTTGGTTGACGTGAGTATCACTGGCTTCTTCAGGAGGCCGTGCAGGTGTCGTAGGTGCTTTTCGCGTTGCCCAATGTTATTGACCAGCGGAAGTGACATACATGGCAGAAATCCTGCCAACGTCGCGGCCCAGAACCAGGTAATACTGTCACGCTGTGAATTGAAGTGTATCAACATGACCTGTTCTGGTGACTGGGCTTGAATGCTGTGGCTAATTAATCTAGCCTTATCGCGTGCTTCGGTCCAGAGTTCACGGTAGGATAGGGTGGAAAGACCGGGCCCCGCAACAGTTTCTGAGTAAAAGTAGAGATGGCCCTTTGTCTCGGCCGCTCTTTTGAGTAGCTGGGATAAGTTTAGGACCGATTTCGGAGCTTGGAGAGAAGTCATCGATGATGGAAAGGCATGGGGTGTCGCGGGCGACGAGACTTTCAGCTGGGGACCAGCCTCGACGTAGGATGGCATATTCGTATGTACTGTACTGAAATGAGAAGTGAGGAATGTTGTTAACGACGATGGCAGAGATCATAATTCAACGGTTTCAGAGGGACTTTAAGCCAACACAGATTCATGAAATTCGTGAGACTTCAGGCAACCTAAGTACCTTAGCAAAGCAAACAAACATGAAGTATTGTCTGCATGCGCTAAGCTGCACTTTTCCGCTGCTAAAAGGAACAAACTCAATGATTTAACTGTTCACCCCTTCGTGGGAAGGATTTGTTTGCTATGCAGGTTCCAATTTACTCGGCAAACTGGCCCTTTTAGGCGTGAAACACTGAGCTGTGTGCAGGGTAGAAATGGATGTTCAAATGCATTGGTCGAACTCGCCCCATATCTACATCGAGCCCAGCCAGACATGCGCGTGGAACACAGCACAGCGAGTTGACTTTCCGCCGTTCCCGACACTTCACCCAGTGTCCAGCGGCCGCCCTGTCTCCGTGCCCCCCTCTCTCGACTGCAGAATAAAGTGCATGAAGATTGTGGCAGTGTTCTTCGTCTGCTGCACGCTTGCATACCTGCGCGGTGCGGATGCCTGGCGCCGTGACACTGGTCTGCGTGTTCCTGGCTAGATAGGTTCTAGATTGGTCGCATCAATTTCGGCGTTATTCACACCATAGCCGCCGATAGAATCCTTCTGAATATGGTATTTCTTCATCAGTCCACACTTACTCAGGAATGAAGTTTCTTGCGACGTGACATCGACTTACAGTTCAAATGGTCTAGGCAACGAGGCCTTATCAGCTGGATCGCAATCCTTGCAATACTCGCGATCAAAGTGCTAAGTAGGCTTAGGAAGAAAGAACATCTTTCTTATCCTGGAAAGGTACCGAAGTCGAAGCAATGGTCAGATCGACAACGACCGCCGTAGTGAGGAGGAGATAGTGCGTGCCGCGTTCGTATTGAATTGAGTCGGTGACTTGAGTAGGTTTCTGTTGTTGAATCGCAAGAGAGATGGAAAGGTTAAGTCCCTAGTTCCGTAGGGCCAGAAGCCCGGACAAATCACAAGGCATGGTTTTTTGTAGCCGCAGAGTTGCCAGCGGCGTATATTTGAAAATCTTGAGATTTAGTGATCCCATGTCAGCCTTCTAGTGTTGCAGTAGGAAGTGTGTCAGGCCTCAATGTAACACTCACTACAATTCAAACCATAGTAACCACTCATTGACCCTGCCAATCTTTTTGGATGTTCCGTCAGCGTAAAGGATTCCTAAATGCGCTGCATTAAACCCCATGTCACCTCCGAGCCTGGAACACGATGTTCCTTCGAAAACTTATCCATATTTGGCTCATATCTTCTTCAATGAAAACTTGCGTCGACGCGAGATCCCCACGCTGTGCAGATTAGCGTAGATCTTATAGGACAAGAAGTCGCGGCTATCATTCACGCTTATTTAAATACATCCTTCACTAACGACCTGTCTCTGTCAGACTGTATCAAATATAACCCGGCCAAACTCGTCAAACACGTTTCAGTGAAGCCTATGTCGTTCTGGAATGATTGAACAACATGGCTTACATGCCCTACCGTCCGCTATCAATTAGAGAACGTTTTTATGCGGTCGAGATGTCACGTCACTCTGAAAAGTGCCAAGAAGCTTCTCAAAATGATGTTTCGCTGAAAGGCGGAATATATAAGGGGGTATGGTGTGCTCAGCGCTTTTGATGGCGTTCTTGGTTAGTTATTCCAAATAATTTTTTGGATAAATAGCTTGGCGAGCTCACATATTCAGCTGGTAGTCAACATTCATAACGAAGTAGATTTTCAAACGCCTCATGTTTTTAGTATGTCACAGAGAACTCACTCTTGGACTATTCCACGATTTGGGCCCTCTCCTTGTTCATCCCATAGAAACAGTAGACCCCAAGTCAAGACCTGTGAACCATGCGTTGAGAAACGTCGTGGCTGGATATTCAACTTCATGACTTCCCGTCTCATCGGTTTTTTTCCCGCTAGCTCTTCCATAACTCCCTATAGAGTCTAGACCTGCCGCGTTCAGACGATCTGACGATAATATGTTCCCGGCTATGCAGATGATTCAGTCTCGATCTTTTCACTGTAGATTGCTACTACGCATATAGGATGAGTAGCATGTTACAGGATGGACGGCTCCTCGTATCGGCTTCCAAGATATGCTTCGAGCTCTCGTGGCTTGGCCCACAGTATTCACGACAATCTTTACCTGAACGTATTGCTACTCTAATGAATAATGAAGCCGGTGGAAGTTGCGTGCTACAACTTGGATTGTCTGGCAAGGTTGACATGAATTGCCTTGATGTTTGAGTAAGCGGCCAGACCAGCCTCTCCCAATTCTCTCCCAATCCCGCTCTGTTTGACCCCACCGAAAGGGATTCGCCAATCACTATCATTACTCGAGTTAATCCATACCATGCCTGCCTCGATTCTCTTTGCAACGGTATGGGCGCGGGCAAGGTCTGTAGAGAACAGAGCGCTTCCGAGACCGTATTCGGAATCATTGGCCAGGGCGATAGCGTCTTCCTCGGAATGGAAGCGACAGATGACGACAAAGGGACCGAATACTTCCTCCTTGAAGATCCTCATCTGAGGCGTGACCTCGGTAAAGACAGTGGGTTCGATGAAATAACCAGGAGAGTTAGGCTGGTGAGGCTGGCCTCCGAGCTCGAGCCGTGCGCCCTCCTTCTTGCCGATGTCGACGTAGGAGAGGATCCTGTCGTACTGTGCCTTGGTAACTTGCGGTCCCTGAAAGGTGTTCTCCTCAAAGGGGTCTCCGACCTTGGAGATCTTCATGACCTGATTTCGGAAAGCTGCTAGGAATTTATCATAGACAGTGTCCTGCACCAAAATCCTCGAGGTCGCGGTACAGATCTGGCCTTGATTCGACATAATACCAGCGTGAGCCCAGTGAACAGCCAAGTCCAAGTCAGCGTCATCAAACACAATCAGTGGACTCTTGCCACCCGTCTCAAGCGTAATGTTCTTCAAGTTATTACTCGCCATCTTCATGATTCGTTTCGCCGTCTCGGTAGACCCTGTGAATGCAATCTTATCAACATCCATGTGGGATGCAAGAGCTGCGCCTGTGACAGCTCCAAGGCCATTGACGATGTTGATCACACCAGGTGGAAATCCTGCCTCTACTACGAGATTTGCGAAATACAAGATTGAGAGCGGTGTTTGCTCCGCCGGCTTGAGAACGACTGTGTTACCACAAGCCAAGGCGGGGCCGAGTTTCCAGGCAGCCATTGCCAGAGGATAGTTCCAACTGTGGTCGTTGAGATTAGCTATTCAATTTCTTAGTGTAGAGAAGCAGAAGGAAGAATGGGGGAGTTGGGGCGTCTTACGGGATGATCTGGCCGCAAACGCCCACTGGTTCGCGGACTGTGTAGGCAAACTTCTCAGGCGTCGTCTCGATTACCTGACCGAATACCTTATCCGCAAAACCACTGTAGTACGTCAAGGTTTCAATAGCCTCGGTGAGATCCTCATTGAGAGATACCGAGTATGGTTTGCCGTTATCCCATGTCTCGATGGTTGCCAGTGTCTCGCGGTGTGCTTCCATCAACTCGGCAAGGCGTACCATGCATTTCCCGCGGTCCGATGCAGGCAAGTCCCTCCAACTTGGGTGATGAAGGGCTTTCCGCGCGGCTCGGACAGCTCTATCGACATCATGAGCCGTCGCTGCGTACACAGAGATGATTTCTTTTTCGTTGCTGCGCAAGTTTGTTAGCGACATGACTTCAGGGCACTTTGAGGAGATGTGAGATCATACCTAGGATTGATGCTGGTTATCTTGCCGCCGTCAGACGATTCTATCCAATGGTTGTTGATAAACAGCCCTGTAGGCTGGAGGTATGTTCGTCCATTTGGAGCGGTCAACCTCACAGAAGCCATTGTATGAGAGCCAAGTAGTTGAATGTTCTTACGAAATGCAAGAAGAAGGGGGAATTTTCAAAGCTCCTCAAACGCAGCAAGTTTTCATTTTCTAGAACAATCACGTCTGGTTGCAACGAGGGAGAAATGTTTCGAGAGACAATTAAGCCATCTGCGAGGGGCCTAAGAGCTATCAACCACTGCCGTTGCTTGCCTGGACGAATAAGGCTATTGCCGAAACCCGTTACCATTACCCACACTGTGGAGTCTTGTTTGTGAAAGATGCCCCGGCCCGGGATTACACTCTCTCCCACCGGGTCCTTCCAACGCAACGAACAAGCACTGTGCGGGGAACCTGCTACCAGCTTGCAAGCTGCGACAAAATGAGGCTTAAAGCTGACCGATACCGCATATGTTTGTCGAGCGTATGGTTGTGTGAGGGGAAACCACGTTTGGGGTCGCTGTGGAGAGGCTTCCTGACGGCTAGACACGCTCGAAACGCGGATGTTGGGTGATAGGCAGCTATTTCCCGGCGATGACACTACGAGAGGGCGCCATTGCAAGCCAAATTAGGAAAGAAATTTGGCCAAGCTGCTTACCCCGGTGACACCACGTGCCAGGTACCAGCTTTAGCTCGCCGAAGGACCGAACACAAACCGGGACCAAGGTGCCAGGGTGCTCCCTAGTCTCGCCGCACCGCTGGTATCAGATCAAGTTGATCAGGTAGCTGAGAGCCAAGCTCAATCAGGAAAGAAACTAGGCCATGATCTGGACAGTGACCAACCTCTATCAAACGCTCGTAATGAGGGATACAGTATCCCGTAGATGCCTTGAGCCTGGAGCTGACTTCCAGCCCATTCTGAGCATCGAAGTAGTTCAATGATAAGCGGCTGGCAGACCCGTAGTGAGCTCGGGGCTAATCATGAACACTCCTTACTCGGGGTGCATGTCTCAACTCAACGGAAGTCGATATACCCAAGTTGCGCAACTCTGCGAGGGGCTCTCTTCATGGGTTATTGGCCACTGATGTCCTTCGTAGACAGAGCACGGAGTACGAATACTTCACTGAAAGTGACATGATGTACAAGGTGGGGGACCCATCGATTAAGGATTGCTCCATGGATGGTAGCCCAAGGGACCATCTCATCCACTTCTCCAAGCACACTTTCCGAGCTGTATACGCAGATACAGATACCACTCGAGAAGCCAGAACTTTCCAAGGCTCTGCTCAGGTTGACCTCGTTTACACGATTGTCCGTGAACTAGGACACCATAAGTACACTCAGCAATGATCACTCAACCGCTGGCATCCGGAAAGAGTTTTATGGAAAAATATGCATATAGTCCCAGCTTCGTGACTCGAGATGATTGAACTCACAAAATAGCGACTCTCATCCCGTTTGTGCCAAAAATATTTCGTGGCCGAGCCAACAGATCCAAAAACCATATTGAGCTAGTCAACCCTGTTCTTCTCTACACCCTTTCCCAATACGTAGCGCTGACTCAAGCTTTCCTGGTGGAGTGATTGCCGACACCCGCGATGAAACTATACAGCCTGGCAGATGTCTATGAACCGCGAGCGACATGGCGAATGGATCTGTGTGGCAAGCCGTCTTCACTTTCAATGTCTTCTTCCAAGGCAGGAGAAGCTGAAGAGTTCAAGAAACGACACTCTGGTCATGTTACATTTGCCCCGCGGCATCCGGCCACTCACTCAAGAGCCCACTAGGTAGAAATAGGTCTAGGATGGGGGGCTTCTTATCAGCTCGGTAATGCAATTAGCTTGGATTGGCCTTGGTCAAGAGCGACTTGACTGGGGCCACCCATGACGTTGTGAACTCTTCTGATGGGGCACTGACTCGATCCACGCATACTGGGAACGACCCGCCGATACCAGTTCTATGGGGCTCACCCCGCGATTTCAAAGTGTCAACTGTCTGAACTAGTACGTAATTCCTGCAGATAACGCGACCTTGATTTTGTGATAGCGGGAGTAAGTAACTCATGATGGTCTGGGAACTTGAAGGTGAACAGTTGATGAGGGCATTTACTTCGATGGCTCAACGGCTGTCAAACCTTAACCAAGTACTCGTCGACCGGGCCGTGACTTTTACGGAATACAATGCCGGGCTACTTTCTTGTAATCTGCACAGCGGGTGTAGACTGGTCACACTCACAACCAAAATACATGCAAATGTAGGCACTCTGTCCGTACGCGCGCTGCGCTCTCATTTGACCTTGCGGATCTTCAACACACCAATCTTGATACAACCTACTGTATCCGCATCCGAATCGAATATCGGGTGCTGCCACTATAGGAAAGAAGGACGTTAGGGAACGAGCGCGACATTGATCTACCCAGCCTGTTGCAACCTTGCAAGCAATCCGGCTCCTTATCAATTCCAGGGGAATATTTTGGGCGCTGACAGCCCATCCTTGCATCTCATACAAAAAGCACTTCGCACCTCTTGCAAGCCATCACCTCCGAACTCCGTCTCGAGTCCCGTCACAACTTAGACAACGCATCCGCGCGAAACAAAACCACGCAAAACTCGATAATCGAATTCGCCATTAAGCCAAGTTGGGTATTCAGTCTGTGTCTCGAGCTATGGAGAATGACCCGGAATCGAACCCACCGCTCGACCATCTGAAGACCACCGACCAGGTCGCTCAAGATGCGCAGGATCTCGCCTACCTCGGCCATGACCAGGCCCTTTCGCGAAAGTTCAGTAGGATGAGCATGCTCTTCCTCGCCATATCTGTCCTGGGAACCTGGTCTACATTTGCGCAAGGACTTTCGAGCGGTATCACCAGCGGCGGACCAGTTGCCATCCTCTGGGGCCTCGTCCTCGTCCTGTTTTGCAATATCTGCGTGGCCGTATCATTGGGAGAGCTCTGCAGTAGTATGCCCACAGCCTTGGGACAGGCATACTGGATATTTCGTCTGTGGCCGTCTGGTCGCTTTGTGTCCTACCTCTGCGCATGGATCAATACCTTTGGATGGTGGACGCTTTCTGCCTCACAAGTTGCTTTTATGGCCAACTTTATCCTGAGCATGAAGGTTCTCTTCGTACCGGACTGGTCCGAGGTCAGTGTTGGATGGATCAACTTTCTCCTCTATCTCGCCGTCACTCTGGTGGTTACAGTCGCCAATCTCGTTGCCTGCCGGAAAGATGCCATCCTACCGGCGTTCAACAACTTTGTCGGAATCTGCTTTATCGGACTCTTCTTTATCTTTAGTCTGGCCCTTCTCATCTCTGTCGGAGTTAGGCCAAACTTGCAATTCCAGCCAGCCTCATTCGTCTTTGGACAATGGATCAACCAGACTGGTTGGGGAGACGGGGTTACCTGGTTCACGGGCCTTCTTCAAGCTGCATATGGGTTGACGGCCTTTGACTCGGCTGTCCATTTGGCTGAAGAAATTCCGGCACCTCGCAAAAATATTCCGCGCGTCATTTGGCTTTCAGTCACTCTGGGAGCCCTTACCGGGTTCATCTTCATGGTGGTGTGTTTGTTCTGCATCCAAAATCTTGACACCATCTTGAACCCTCCTACTGGTCTTCCTTTCATGGATTTGGTTCATGAGGCTGTCGGACTGCACGGGGCAACTGTATTGCTCTCCCTTTTCATCTTCAACGGTCTTGGTCAAGCTATCAGTATTGTCACCACCGCCTCGCGTCTGACCTGGGGATTTGCGCGAGATGGCGGGATGCCCTGGAGCAGCTACTTCTCTGGGGTGAATGAGGCCTGGCGTGTGCCGGCTCGCGCACTATGGCTTCAGGGAGCCATTATTGGCGTTGTTGGCGTGCTCTACATGTTCGCCAACACAGTGCTCGAGGCAATTCTCAGTGTCAGCACAATCGCACTTACGATATCCTACGGAATGCCCATCCTGACCCTCCTACTCGTAGGACGAGACAAGCTTCCGCCTGGAGAGTTCAGATTGGGACGCCTCGGGCCTGCAGTCAATTGGATCTCCGTCATCTACTGCGCTATTACCACGGTGTTCTTCTTCTTCCCATCGGCACCCAATCCAGCACCAGCTGATATGAATTACGCAATCGCAGTCTTTGGGGTCATGATGGTGGTGACTTTGGGTTTCTGGTTCATTAAGGGGCAGTACACGTATCTCAAGACGGAAGATGCGGCAGAGCGAATCATTGAGGCTCAGAATGCCGAGGTGACTACTGCTCCGGTTCCTCGCAAGGTATAGGCGTGTTTCTCGAGTAGATCAAAACAACGTAGACGCTGCTATGTTGGACCACTTGAATCTCCTGATACATAACAGTTAATCAATATCTTATTCCCATCAACAAGATCTGTAGCTGCAACATGACTCAAGCGTAAAGACTCTACAAGTGGCACAATGTACTCTTTGATCTATCTTGAGGGAATTGCTTCCATGTCATTTTCGTACTCTAAGGTAGAACAGGTTCAGTAGAAGCAATCAACATAATCAACTAGAGCACGTGACATGTGTGTGCCACATTAATCACCAGTGGAACCCATTCCCAAGTCAAAGTAGGGTGATGGAGATTTTAGCCCGCCGGCCTTGGCACACCCGCCCGCCCACCGTTCCGTTAAGCGCGTCTCGCCCCGATATGAGTGCCGATTCAGCCGCCGCCGCCCCCTCGGTCCAGGGGCTGGGGATCCCTGGGGGGGCTGCATGGTCGATTTTCCTTCCTAATTCAGTAAGTAACTTGCCCATGGCATCCCTTGGTCTTGGCTAGACACCTCATGCACACCTGTCGTTATTCACACTTACTTTCACCTTGACACATTTAGCTCTCAGAGCCAATCTGAATCGCTCTTCTGTGGCTTCGAAGCGCGCTTTTGACTGCAATCCCCTTTGCCTCGAGATAGACTCTGAGTAGTCAATTACGAAATTGACCGGCAGCAATGCCGGTCCACATGCCACACCCCGGCCCGGTCTCTTCTCTCCCCAAAATCTCCGCCTTCCGCTGTTCCGCTACAGAATGGAGCTAAGCAGCGCCGAAATCGCCAAGCGCGAGTCGCTCGACAGGGACTCCCGGCGACAGGGTCCATGAAGACGCCAGAGTTGCTTGCACTGTCTTGACATGATGGTGCACATTGCAATTTATCTTACGTTTGTCAAAGGAGAGCTCCGCAAGACACTGCAGTTGGCCCTCGTACGATTGTCACGTCGACAGACGCCCCAGCATCACTTTTCCAACTATAAGAGGTAGACTTGCCCGCATTACGGTTTTGGCTTCCATCTGCTACCAGTCACATCTCTCTACCAGAAACCAAACCGGAAACTAGTTCGCATCGTTTTCACACCAGCCCTTCATCCTGTTCGCCAGGTCTCTCACATCATCACATATCAACAATCGACCTTGGTCGAATCACAAATACCACCGTATGGAATATTTGTACAGCCCAGACAGCCCTCACCATGATTGCAGACACCTCTTCTATAGCCGGTTACACAATCTTCCGGGAAGAGCCCAGCGATACCGTTCCAAATCTGTCTACTCAGCATCGAGTACATCCTCTGGGTATGAACATCAACTCCCTTGTTTCTGCATTATTGCGGCGTTTGAGCTAACAACCGATTTCTTCTTGAAGATCAGCTATCGATTGAAGAGATCCAGCTTGCTGCGAAACTCATCAAGAACTATGCTAGTCCCAAGGACCTCAAATTCAACTGCCTGACTTTGCGCGAGCCCAAGAAGAACGAATACGCTGCCTTCAAGTCTGGTCTCGGCCCTCGCCCTGAACGCCGCGCCTTCGCCATTGTCATCACCAAAGGAACGTCCCAGGTGACTGAAGTTGTTGTCAACTTGGAAACCACCCAGGTGGAACTGTGGAAGGATGTCGCGGACGTTGCCCCGACCCTCACCTTGGAGGATCTTGACATCTGCGAGACAGTCACTCGAGCTGACCCTCGCGTCATTCAAGCTTGCCGCGAAATCGGAATCTATGACATGTCAAAGGTCTTCATTGACGCGTGGGCCATTGGATTCGATCATCGATGGGGTACCGATCGCCGCCTTCAGCAGGGTATTGTTTACTATCGCAATTCTCCCGACGATAACCAATACGCCCACCCGTTGGACTTCTCGGTTGTTGTCGACACTGAAAAGGCCGAAGTTCTCTCCGTCGACATCCGACTGGTCAACGGCGAGCGCACCAAGGTGTCTCTCCAAGAGCACAACTACTTGCCCGAATTTATCAGCAGTGGCTACCAAGACAGGCTCAAGCCCATCGACATCAGCCAGCCACAGGGCGTTTCTTTCCGCATGGATGAGAATGAGATCTCATGGGCTGGATTGAAGATGCATATTGGCTTCAACTACCGTGAGGGCATTGTTCTGTCCGACGTCAGGATTGACGATGAAGGCCGCGAGCGAAGCCTCTTCAACCGCATCAGCGTGGTTGAGATGGTAGTACCCTATGGCAATCCGGACCCCCCGCACCAACGCAAGCACGCTTTCGATGTGGGCGAGTATGGCACTGGCTTCATGACCAATTCCCTCAAGCTCGGATGCGACTGCAAGGGAGCTATTCACTACATGGATGCTATCATGGCTGTTGGGAGCGGTGAAGCGGCTATCGTCAAGAATGCCATCTGTATTCACGAGGAAGATAATGGCCTGCTTTACAAACATACCGATTACCGCGACGGTACCGTCATCTCAGCCCGCGACCGCAAACTCATCATCTCGCAAATCATCACAGCTGCGAACTATGAGTACTGCTTCTACCACACATTCCTCCTGGATGGCACCTACAAGCTGGAAGTCAAGTTGACGGGTATGCTCAATACTTACTGTATGCACCCCAGTGAAACGGCGGCCCCATACGGTACAGAAGTCGCCCCGTTCATCAACGCCCACAACCACCAGCACATTTTCTCTCTGCGTGTGGACCCAGCAGTCGACGGCCCCAACAACTCGGTCTTGCAGAACGATGCTGCGCTTTCCGATGATCCTCTAGGGTCCCCCGGCAATCTGTATGGTAACGGCTTCTACTGTAAGAAGACGCCCATCCGAAATGCCGGTGGCGCCGACTACTGCCACGAGACAGGCCGCTCTTGGGACATCATCAACCCCAACAGCATCAATCCCGTGGCTAAGAAGCCTGTCGCCTACAAGATTCTCAACAACAACTGCCCTACCATCCTCGCTAAGCCTGGAAGTATGGTAGAGAAGAGGGCTGCCTTCACCCGCAAGGCACTCTGGGTCACCCCCTACAAGGACTATGAACTGTTCCCAGCGGGTGATTATGTATGCCAATCGAGCGGCGATGAGGGCCACCCACATAACTCAACCATTGTGGACTGGGTCAGCAAGAAGGAGCCGGTTGAGAATACCGACATCGTCTGTTATATCCAGTTCGGCCTGACACACTTCCCGCGCACCGAGGATTTCCCGGTCATGCCGGCTGAGCCTGTTGGGGTCATGATCAGAGCCTCCAACTTCTTCAAGAGAAACCCAGCTCTGTGGGTGCCGCCTTCAATCGTTGCCGTGGACAAAACATCCAAGAACGCATTCGCCAAGTCGGAGCCCGCCGAGGCGTGCTGTGGTACCAGAGGCAGCAAGTTGTGAAGCCCCAGGCTTTGCAATACGCTCTGGAACGATAGCCGCGGGGGCAAGTATTGGTAGCAGCATCCACCCTTCATAGTAGTACCTTACATGTAGTGCAGTACAGTCATTTCCGCAAATTAATGAAACCGAAAACTGATCTTCATCATTGTCAAGTCTTGTATTCCCCCCGGCCAGGAATTCGCCTATAAAGATCTTACATTTTTATTACTATAGTTGACAAGATGGCTTACCTCGAGATGAACTTGCATATTCAGGACCTCATTGCCATGAATTTGTATCGATTACAAACACGTGAATGAAGTAAGGAAATTGTTTATGGACCACATGTTTGTTTCGACCGCTTCATCGCGTTGCAGACATATGTGCGTAACACTTCCTTCACCGCTCGTGGCCCGACCGCACGCTACCTTGGTTAACAAGTCACAGCACGAGGACGTGTGGGCTGAGATGGCTGAAGATTTCAATCCAAGTCTTCTCTCCAGACTTGGACGGCCAAATGGTCTTGAAGAAAGATTTGACCGCGTCGATAGAAGCGAATCGCATGTCATCGTATATCACGTCGGCCATGTCAAGAACAGCCTTTTGCTCTTCTACCGATGAAACATGGGCTCCGGCGATGAACAGCGGGAAAACGATGCAGTTGAGGTTGTTTGCCTCCCGAGGGATCTCAAAGATGCAAGCGAGGCAGGATCTGACATGCTGCTGCACAAGTGGGTGACGAGTCGGAAGGCCACAAATGGCTCTATACAGGTACAACAAGGCGGTGTGTTGGAAGATGCGGACGAGGGTGAATGCATGCACAGCCTCGGTTTCTGTCGCAGAGCAATCGGATACCTCTGAGGGGCTCTGACCGTCAGCATCAGCGACAGTCAGTGGCGCATAGACTGGACGAAGGGATGTTTCGAATTTGCGAATGCGCTCAATAGACAGATCCTCGGTCATGCTTGTCGTCGCTCGTAGGTACAGGCCCATCTTTGCGATTTCGCGAAAGACGGACGCGAGGGAGCATCTACCCAACGGGTCACGACCCCACCAAACAGGGCCCTTATCGAGCCGGTGCCACACGTCAGGAGGGAATGCCGGAGGCTTACCCCGAATCATGGATGTTGTGAGATCCGTCGTCGCGAACTCTGAGAGCAGCATGTGCAGCGGCTCGGGGGCTGTCGACACTACGGCCTCGATGCCACCTAGATGCTCGAGGATAGCTAGGATGCCATTGTAATGACTAGAGGTCGAGGCTGACTTGAGGATGCAACCCATGTATCCGTCATCAAAGTACAAGAGGATGACGGCAAATAAGAGCCCGATCGTGGGTCCATCCCTCTTAGGCTCAACGCAGCAGCGGTCTATCTCGGTTCGCACGGCAGCCAGGCACTCTAGCCGCTTCTTACCGAGGGAATCGTGGTCATGCGTACCGTCTTGTAGGAGCCTGTGAGAATCAGACAGCAAACAAGCAGCGAGCAAAACGACACGGTGCTCCAGAGCCACCGAACTTGGAGGAGCACACGGTTCCTCTGCCGTGGAGAGAAGTGGCCAGACGCGAAGATGGAAATAGTCAAGAGCGCGCCGCTCGCACACTTCAAGGTAAACGGTCAAGTGCAAGTCGTTTCGTGGGATGCAGTAGGCTGGAGGAACATGAGGAGTTGGCCGCGTGCTCCACCTGATGAGTCGGCTATTGTAATCGCACTTGGTGCCGGAGGCAGCGCATTGGCGGCAAGTCGGCTTAGAGAGACTGCATTTGATGCGTCGCTTTTTGCAGGACCAACAAGAGCCCTTGACAACTCTGACTCGGTTGGGAGGCATGTTCTCTGGGAGCTTTGAGGGTTGTGGATGCGATGCTCAGATATATTCAAGCGATGGACTTGTAAATTGGAATTTTCTCGGTGGGCGTTGACGAAGTAGGAGTCTCTGCAGCATGCCCAGTTTAGCGGCATTCAATCTAGGACTGTTGAGAGAAACAGAGTTTGGAAGGCGGCTCACATCCGGCATACTTGAGCTACTGGGCACTCTCTGCCAGTATAGGCAACAATATGTGTTGCCACCAAATTGATTCCGACTTGAACGATCCATGCGGCAGGTAAGGCGGGTTTTGGACGAAAAGAGGAGGGAGAGAAGGAGAATGTCGAGAGTTGAGAAGCAAGCAGACGCCTGTGATGGGAAGGCCAACACAAGGAGAAAGTATGACACGGGTCTTGATGGGGCCTTGCTGTCGACGGCGGCAAAGTGTATGAGTGACGGCGAAGGTGTCTTCCGACGTAAGTGTGTCCCGTAGATGAATCGAAAGAAAGGTTGCAGTTGGTTCGGCGGACGGGAGCGGGGAGAACTTTGTAGGAATCCAGACTTGTCCGGCCATGGGTTCGGGCAGGGAGCCAAGGAGGAGGGATCTTCCCAGCGCGTGTGTGCCGGGCTCGTGTGACTTGGCTGCTTGGTTACATCCATTGGGGGATGCGTTAGGTGGAGATGCGGGGCAGCCCAACACGACGGCACTAACATTGGATGTATCAAGGATTACGTACTCCGTACTCTAGACTGCATCCTCCGTATCGGAGAGAGAGATAAGCATCACAATGATGGTGTAAGCAACGCATCCGTGCCCTGGAGATGGATTATAATCTCTTATCTAAGGTTTTGTTGCTGCTCGATAACGCCTTAGATAAGATAAGCCCCTGTGTGAACCAAGTTGGTTCGAACTTGTTGTCCAAACGCGACTTGGTTATTTTCTGCTGCAATGCCATCAATTGGTCTTGGCATCATCGAGGTGCCGATAAAAGATCACCTGCGAACGGTAAAGACAACACAATGACTCAATTGGTGTACGTTGAAGCCTACGTGCAAAGGAGAATGTAGTGAGACTTTGAGTATCGATGTAATTCCTCATCTCGCGTGAAATAGGTTCCTTGTAAGACAAGCAAGGCCAGTCCTATGTTGTACTTGTAGGCTTCGGCCTTTCCGTTGACGTCTTCGCGGCTGGATGTTCCTCCTTCTGACCTCCTTTCTGGTCCTTGGTCGTCTCTCCACTGTTTTGCTTGCCTTTGGCTGTCTTTTCATCTTCGACCGCTTCTTCATGCCAGCCCGGCACAAGCTCATTGTCGGCCTCCCCTTCATTGTCATCCCACCCTCTCAGAACTCTTCTTGCTGCTTCCCTACCGACAACGGGGAGTCTCTCAACGCCAATCTTGCGCCCTGCTTCTGGCACAAGATTCGGGTCTAGCAAGCCAACTTGCACCAACACGCTCGCTTGATCCCAATACACATGCTCGTGGTAGAGTTTGCCTCCTCTCAGCCCAACGATGCTAACAACAAGCAGCTCGACCCGTTTATTTGTTGCTGGGACGCCTGGCAGAATCCATGGCATCTCTTCCGTGTGTTTGAAACGGACGTGAACCTCATCAACGACACGATCAGTCCCGATAGTGCGGGAAATAAGCGTGAGTTTCATTGACGGTGGGTTGTTGAAGAATTGCTTGTAAAACATTGCCAGCTCTTGGGCTCCGACCCCTCCGGTCAATGTCGGGATATGTGTGACGTGGGGCGTCTTGTGTGTTGTATACGATGAGAGAGTTTGGTTTAGGTTGCGAGTGAAGAACTTGCCTGCAAATAGGTCAGCTTTGAGTCTTGGGCCAGGATACGCCCCCCCCCCCCGCCCCCCCCCCCTTGGTCCGATATCATGAGGACATCGCAAGCTCGTTCCCCACACAGCGAAGAGCAATTCGTTCAGAAAGTGAGGGGAAATACTGACCCTGCACATTTTGCTCCAACACGAGCTCCAAGTCGGCATGATTATTGAACGCCTTCCTCGCCGCACCAAGGCTTCGGCTCCATGCCAATTCAGCGGAAACTTGGTGGTATTGGTCCAAATCGTGCTCTGCAAAACCGGGCTCCGCATCGTAGGTGTAAGTCGGATATGCCAGCTGCAACATTCCGCCAATGCCCATGCCGTTTTCCACCTTTTTGCGAGTCGTGCGTCGTTTTCCTTGGATCCCAACCATCTGGCTTTGCTTTGTGACACCAATCTCCTCACCCGCGGCGAGATGGACAAGAGCGGAAATGCTGCTGGGAAAGTGACCCTTGGGATCAGGGATCGCCGTGGGGTAGTATGCAACGAGAAGACCCAGCTTGAACTCTGGGTTGTTGTCCATGACATGATAGTGTTCAAGACAGGCAGCTGCGGCATCTCCGTATGCTTTCGGATGGTTGGGTGAGCTTTTGTATCTTCTCTTTGATTTTGGAATGGCACTTTACTAACCCACGATTCCAAATGTCTCACAAGGGCCCATATTGGTTTTGCTCAACGATCGGAGTTTATCCCGGTACTCTTTCGCGGTACCCCCCATTGGGAGGTACTCCACGTCGAAGTCCTCATCGCGCCACTCGTCTAGCGTGAGTTGGTCAAACTCTTCACTTTCCGCACTGATATACAGCTTTGGTCGACCTCTTGGGAAGTCCTTGGACAGGAAGTTAGGATCTCTGTGGACGGGGCGATTCCAATTGTCCGAGACGATGCGCGCATTTCGTCCTTCGGAATCCGGCGCAGCGGCCTTGACCAGCTTGGGGATGTCGATATTCATGATTTGTTAATCTCACAGTCTCGATATACCTACCTAAGTCATGCAGATAATTACTGCTCTGTGAAGTGTATAGGAGAGTAGAAACGACTCACTCCCATTTATAATACATCGTGGGAGAACTTGAAATCGCCTGGTTGTGACGTCATGCCTGTCCCCAAGCTATCGTCCACAGACCCGTTCGTCTATGGAGTGCATTCACGGCCAATCACATCGCGCAACAGGTGAACAGACGAGGTCTTCTTCATGAGCGTCACTGTTCCTTGTTCCCTTACATTCGGACTTACCTAGAGGTAGTCCTATTTGCAAAAAGATGACAGGTGCACGTTCCCATGCGCCCATCTCAGATGCTTGATGCTCTATTTTGCGGAAAGTGAACTAAAGAACTTTTCTTGGCATGCGCTAAGATGTCACGGGATATGACGTGCGCTGCGCCAAAATTGAGACAGATTGGGCCACCGCACGCTGGTGAAGACGATGTGCGCAAAGGTGAGATTGTGAAGACACAACTCTTCCTATCGTAAGGCACCTCGTCCTAACTGAAGCCTTTTCTTTTGGGCATCATTTGGCCGACTCAACTGTGTGCTTCGCGAAAGCGTTGGATCGTGCCCGACGCAAACTCTTATTCATTTTGTCCTGCTCGCTGCTCAAGAAATGCGTGCTCCAACTTGGGAGCATAGCCTACAAGAGAAGGCAGCGCGTATGGCCAGCACCTTCAAGGTTAATTGGCATCTGGGCTTGACGGCGTTTGGAGGGCCACCAGTGCATTTCAAAATAGTACACAGGGCCTCGCTCCATGTCATTGAGGCCAGCTGCTTACATGTGGGCTGGTTTAGTTCCATGAGCGATTCGTGAGACGTATGCAATGGATCGATGATCAAATGGTATGACTTTTGATTACCACCATTCGCGAACCATCGCTTTCACTTGCTAATATCATACGAACTTTAGTATCAAGAGCTGTTCAGCATCTCTCAAGCTCTTTCTGGGCCGGCTAGCACTAAGATGCTTTATTGCATTAATCTCATCCAAGACGGCCTCCTCAGCGCCATCCTGGCCTTCATGATCTGGAGGTATGTGCTCCTGGGACTTCTGAATAATCCTCACCATCGCAAACCCGACTGAAATTGCATCCCAGCTTACCCGGTGCCCTGGGAATGTACGGCCTCTCTTTGGGCGTTTCTAATATCGGGTCAAGTCTCCCGCGCGCAGTCTATGCTCTTCTTTCTGGCCTCAACGCTGCCACTGTCGGCATCATCGCCCATGCAGCCGTGGAGCTCTCGGGCAAAAGCATCAATGACAAGCTTACAAGAACACTCGTGTTTCTCTCTGCCGCAGCGGGCATAATGTATAACGCGATATGGTTCTTTCCAGTACTTATGTGTGCTGCGGGCTGTTCGGCTATCATACATGACTACCGCTGGGTTCAAAAGCTGGCGATGCGGGTCAGAGAGATGATGCGAGTGTTACTCGGCAAGAGACAAGGTGGATCAGCTATCCCAACCCGCCAGGGTGGGGATGTTGGCGGCGAGATTCACCTCCCATCAAGTAGGCGAACGCCCACTCCGCAAGACAGAAACGTCGGCCACACGGGAATCTCACCTGCCATTCTCCGGCCTTCATCATCCGAGAATCAGGCCGCCAGTACCTCTCGCGCCGAACAGGGTCCGACTGCGCCGCCTATGGAAGCCGATGCACGCCGTTCTCTAGCTGGGTCCGAGCCGCGGATCGTTCCAAAGGAATTTCAACTGCAATTTTCCTGGAAAACCGGCGCTGCCATCTTAGCAACCTTCTTCACTACTTTCATCACTGTGATGGCCATTCGAGGAATCATCCCAGATCCTCCAGTCCTTTATAAGCTGTTCTCTAATCTTTACCTTGCGGGTACCATTATCTTTGGCGGCGGCCCTGTAGTAATTCCGTTACTTCGGGAGTACATTGTGGCCGAGGGCTGGGTATCTCCGAGGGATTTTCTAATCGGTCTTGCGATTGCGCAGTCCTTCCCTGGCCCCAACTTCAGCTTTGCTGTTTTTCTCGGCGGCCTGACCGCCGCCAACGCGGGACACCCTGCTAGCATAGGCGCTGCCATCGCCTTTGCTGGCATCTTCACCCCAGGACTGGTCCTCGTTTACGGCACAATGGGCGTTTGGGGGGCGTTGCGGAGCAGGCCCTGCGTGAAGGCCATGGTGCGGGGCGTGAACGCCTCAGCCGTCGGGCTTATCTACACTGCAGTCTACCGGATCTGGCAGGTTGGGTACATTGACGAGGGCTTCCAGTCAGGGAGGAGCTTAGGTGACGACCCTTGGTGGGTTGTTGTCACAGCTACTGCGTATGTCGGGGGACGGTATTATAAGTTGGCAGCGCCGTTGGCGGTCTTACTCGGGGCGACGATGGGTTTGGTTAGGTATGGCGTTGTTTCTACGTAGATGTTAGCATTAGATCAAGACGGTGAGCTTGAAAAGGGCTCTGGGCTTGCCGCCTGACATAGGAACTTAGCCCATTCACCACGACTGTCTTACAGACAAAAGGTGGAGAGAACGTAGATAAGCGCCCAATTATTGGTAGCTTCCCTGTTGACTTGAAGTCAAAGCCAGTTGGAATTCTAACTTTGAGCGATGACTTGTAATAATTGCGTAAACAAGCTTGGGGTTGGTCTGAAAAGGTTAATTGAGGCCCGAGGTTCCTATCTGTTGCACGACGTATCAAAAGTGTGTTGGTCAGCCTAAGAGGATTCAGGGTACTGGGTGGACGAGCATGGAAGAAATGCAGAGATATTTTGAGACCTCTTTGCTCAATCTATATCAGCGATCTCTCATCGCCGCCCAGGAGATCATCTTATACCCTTCGTCGTTGGCCAATCTCCTACATTCTATCAATTCTTCATCCCTCGGTGCATGCATTTTTGATACCTCAACGCTGTTCCTGACACATAATGGTCTTGAATGTTCCCGTGTTGATCAAAATTCACTGCCCGAGTGGCAACACAGTTCCTAGAATTTTTGTCATCTTTATGTACGCTCAATCCATGGCGAACAATTGGGCAGAACTCACAAACCCGTCAAGCCGCTCACTGCTCGGAGTAATTGGTGATTTTAATGCTGCTGCCATTTGTGGTTGACCTTTTAGAGCATGATGGACTTCCAATGTGACAACAAAGGTTGTTCAATATTCTAGGGATGATGGATATTCCCTCGAGTGTTTATTGTGCATTCCAACTGATGCTCGATCAACCCAGCCGGCACAGCGACCACGGAGGTGAGGGAGATAGCGAACAAGGACACGTAACATGTTTGGATTCTAAATCAATTACCAAGTCGTGTGTTGGAATTTGAGGATGATAGTTCTTCTACCTTACCAACACATTCGGCCAGTTATCGTTAACGTTTTCCACGAAATCACGGAGAAGCTAAGAGCTGGACACGACCATAATGGAGCAGTCACACGAGGAATCACATTTGCGTCATGAATGCATTTAAATAATACTACAGAATGAATGAGACGACATTTATCTTGTACTGTATGAGGTACTCGGAATCAGCTTGCGGAAGGGTTGAGACGGCAGTATTGAAACCTGTCTCAAGACTTTGTTAGCACTCAGGTATTTGCGGCAGCTTGTTTCGCTTCAAATTCAAACTTGTCGAGGGTTGCAGGTTCTGTGTAAGAGAGTAAATTCGAGGCTGATTTTTTTTGACTCATAAAGCAACCGGCTTCACCCACGTACTGAAAACTATCGCTTGTCTTTTGCACATAGCTGAACTCAGAACTCAACGAAAGCCGCACTATCACCGGCCATCCACAAGACGTCTTACTAAGCAGTCCCATGGTTCACCCGCACTACACAACCGAAGCCGACTTGTGAAGTCAAGCGACTGACTCAACTCCTTTGGACACCTCCCCATCGAATATTCCCTCTTTCAGCAAAGCAACCCCAACATCGATAACCTAGAACTAAGCTCTCTGCAAACATGTCACGATCCCGGAGCGGATGCCTGACTTGCAAACGGCGCCATCGCAAGTGCGACGAGACCAAGCCCGAGTGTTTGCAATGTCTCGGTCAGGGTATCAAATGTGCGGGCTACAATGTCGTATTGCGTTGGGATGCTGGCATCGCTTCACGGCGCCGGCATACAGGAGCGCCGGAACCGTCAGAGACGCTCCATATCGAGCCTACAGAGACGATAAGCCCGACGAGGCGCTCGTCCAGAGAGCCATCTAGTGGAATACTTTCGTCGGTCGAATCGGCAATCCCACCAGAACGAGATTTTAGAGGAAACAAAGGTGCCCCCCAAAAGCCGATCTCAGTGGTTCGCTCTCCAGATCCTGAGATGCCAAGTATATTATCCGAGGTCTTCCAGACGTCCCTGCAATCCCCCATGTCCTCACTAGAGGGATTTTCATGGGCGGCTTGTACAGAGCAGGATCGAGATCTTTACGAAAGATGTACGGTTTTGATCTAAATAATTGCCAACTCAAGGCGGCGGACGAATCTTATACATGAGCTAAGAGAATCCTGGGCTAACAAATCTTGTCAGTTGATCGAAGCACCATCTTTCTTCTATATTCAACTCATCGAGATGACTGGTTCCGAACAAGCCTTCGCCACCTCGCGAGTGACTCGGAAGCCCTTTGCTCTATTCTCATAGCCACTCATCTCTATGTGTCAAATCCAGACAATCCTTCACCACTGTTCGAGGAGTACTACGTTCGCGGGCTACATTTATTCCGTAAACAGCTTGAGAATCACGACGGCAGCATCAACGTTGGAGTGATGTATGCCGGGCTGTTCATTTGCACGCTTAATGTGAGCCCCCCTGAAGGACTTGTATCTGATTGCCGTTTATATTCTAACAATTCCCTTCAACCAACATAGCTTTTCCAAGGCACACCGTGGTCGGTTCATTTGGAACTAATGATGACCGTCTTTGGCCTAGGAGAGAGTTTGCACGCCTCTGCAGTCCTGGACAATCCCGAGACCCACTTTCCCCTTGAACTCATGGCAGTGATGGACATACCGACGTTCGTCCGCGGCCGTTCCACCATGACACTGTGCCTGTGGCAGAGATTGAGACAAGGCAAGAGATCCAACAATACGGAGCAGGATGATGGGGTTGAAGGAGTTACTAGTTTGCCCAGGTCACTCCTCGATATCTTCTCGTCTATTCAGAACGAAGCTTCAGAAAGTGCTTTCATTTCATGGCCAGGAGAGGTTGGAGAAATACCTCAATTCCATTTATGGGAAGCTTATCGCTTTGCTGGGATCCTCACTGGTCGGCGACTGAGGAAAGACCCATGTCTTTCATCGCTGGCTCTATCCACGGAGGTCATCGTCGGCCGCCTTGTGGCAGCCATTGATGCCCTCTGCGACACGCGGAACCGACCCGAGTATAGCCACTTGCTCACATCGAACTCGCTCCTATATCCATACGTCGCGGCACGGCTAGAAGTTGCCATCCTGCGACGTCGGCCCTCCTGGATGGAGTCGCTGCGCCGTGCTTGCGATATTTGTCAACCCTACGGCAAAACCGCGAACGCAGGCAACATTGCACGCATGCTGAATGAGGCTTGGGAGGTGGGCGACGATGATTACGACATTGATGAGCAAGCCAAACGGAGAAATGTGGAGATCGCACTTTTTTGAGCGACCGTCTCCTGGGCTCAAGACACGGATTAGTAGATGGGATTTGAAGGTTCGACTACTCCATAGTTGCCCTAGCACGATCCGGTAATTATCTGAAATTCTGTTTAGATCACTGTCCGAGGTATAATGACAAGGGTTCGCCGGGTACGTTAAACCGCTTTAAGTATGTCTAAGAGCCAATGATGTGTCTGCTCTTTATCGCCCTTCTCGGAAGCGGGTCGTCGCTAGCTCATACCCCAGATCCGAGTTGGAGTGGAGTTAGTGCTTATCATTCAGCAGCCAAAATTGGACGTCCAGTTAATGCTCTTAACGAGGAAAATGGAGACTTGGGCTCCGACCTCTGAAACATTCAAAAGAATGCGTGGCCCTGGACTGTGATTGTCGAACATGGCACATGTTGAGAAGGTTTCATTCTACGGCCCTCTCATTCACAACTCCGACACAGAATCTTAAGTGGTTAGAAACTCGTCGACAAGCAGCACCATGGATGGGCCCCAAGGAGACACGTACCTTCCTCCTGGCAGTGCCAGACTTTTGTCAGGTCAGTTCTTGACCTTCCGCTGTCTCAAGCATGCTGTACTGACATCGTTTGCCATAGAAGAAGAATCCACCCTAGTCCTAATTCCCACTCCAACCTCAGACCCCAATGACCCCTTGGTAAGTCGTTTGCGGCTGTTCTCTGTTAGTTTACGACTTCGTCAACTGACAAACTGACTGTGTTCAAGAATTGGAACCTAACCCGAAAATGCGTCAACACTCTTTTCGTGCTTGCTGTCACCGTGGCAGTCTTCGCTGCGTGAGACCCCCCGCCCCCTCTATGCCCCATTTCTTGGGGCATCTTAATCAATTGAGTGACTATTCCAATAACACTCCGCCTTTAGAATGACTATGCAGATGGTATTTTGGCAGCAAATGACGGTCGAGCTGGATATGACCTACGACGAACTCAACAAAGGTGTCGCTTTCAATGTCGTCGGACTCGCCCTCGGATGCCTTTGCATCATTCCCTTCACAAAGAAGTACGGTCGACGATCCACATACATCTTATCGACCGCTTTAATGGCTGCAACGTCTTGGTGGAGCAGCCGATTGCGTACGGTTCCCGAGATGTATATCACGAACCTACTCTATGGCCTGGCTGGATCAACAAACGAGACCATAGCCGAAATGACGGTATGCCTGACATATGCCCTCATTCATTACCAACGGTAATTAAAGTTCACTAACGCGCTACTTTCCTTGCCAGATTGCAGATCTCTTCTTCGTTCATCAGCGAGGCCTGGCAAACGGCCTTTACATAACCGCCGTCATGGTCGGGAATTTTCTCGCCCCCACACTCGCCGGTCTTCAAGCAGCCTCGATGGGTTGGCGATGGGCCTACTACACTGTCGGGATCTTCCTGACGATCTTGTGCCTCTTATTTTTGTTTTTCTTCGAAGAGACCAAGTATGTGCCCATCTCTGTTGGATCCCCAACCACCGAAACTCCAGATCTGGAGAAAATAGCGAATAAACTGCACGAAACGAAGTGTGGCTCAGCCGCAGCAAACTCTGCCAGCGATATAAAATCTTTTGAGACACATCCAATTCAAGACATCGAACGGGCCGAGCAGTCAACCCCGCTGCCCAATACGTATTGTCAACGTATGCGTCTGTCCACGACAACGGACGAACCACTGGTCTCCAGCTACGTTGCGCCTTTCAAGATGGCCCTCTTTCCGCACGTGCTCTTCTCAGCAATCCAATGTGCCAACGCTGTGGCATTCCTGGTCGCGCTGACAAGCTTAAACTCCATCGTTTTCGCTGCTCCACCATACAACTTCAACACAGCCGGAGTGGGTCTTATGCTCATCGGCCCATTCGTTGGCAACATGATCGGTAGTCTGTACGGCGGGATATTCGGTGACTACGTCGTTGTCAGGCTCGCGCGAAAGAACCGGGGTATCTTTGAGCCTGAAATGAGACTCTACGTACTCTTGCTACCTGCGTGGATCATGGGCGCCGGAATGATAATATTTGGTGTTACGGCAGATTTGGTGAGTATGAAACATTTTGCGTGATCAAAAAAGGATTGAGAATAAAGTGGCTAACCATAGAGTCTCTTAGGGGATGCACTGGATATGTCCGAGTATCGGCGGTGCTTGTTTCGCTTTCGGCATGAGCTCTATGATGGACATTAGTTTCACAATCATCATTGACACCTATAAAGCCGTGAGTCACTCTAATTAAAGAAGGATACCATGGAGCAGGGTTGAATTAAAGAATAGCTGACCGGCATAGGCTACCGCGGACTCCTTCGTGTTTATTACGTTCGTCCGCAACGCGGGGACTATTGGAATACCCTTTGCCATAGTACCATGGCTTAGCTCAATGAGTCTCACTAATATTTGTATCATTTGTGGCTGCATATCTAGTTCTGTTTGCTTGCTCTTCATTCCATTGCTCATCTGGGGAAGACGCATTCGGATTGCATCGCACGCAAGATACCAAAAGATTGCGGCTGAGGCCGGGGGTATTGAGAGCTCTGGAAGAGCTTAGAAAAGAGAGTCAATATCGTTAATAGACTTGCAGTATGCAATGTGTTAGATTTGAGAAGCCTATCTCTAAATACAATAAGTTCTGCAGTCCTATTCCTAAGCTCTTTTCACCCTGGCTCCGCAGCCTTGCCGGCCACGACTGAATGCGTCTTGCCATACGAGACTGGTAAAGACGCCAAAACCCCATGGCAGAAGACCCGCTAACAACTTGCTCGACTGACCAAGAGCTTGCGAGAAACAGGCGGATGGGGAATTCAGATCACGAGATGAGTCGTTGGATAGAACCGACGCAGCGGGGTAACGTTTTACGCCCACTTTAGAACAGTGACATATCCAAATTGACAAGCGAAATATCAATAAGGCGATGCTAGCTACATATCTGAGTCGAGATATCATTGACTACCGAATCAGGGTCACAAAAACTAACAATATGGCACAAAGCGAGTAATCTAGCCGCTCAGTAAGTAAGAGAAGTACTTGAGCTGAGACGATAAGAAGGCCATGTGTGATTGGCTCCTAAACTTGCCTAAAACAGTTTCGTGGCCCACATTCTCAGTTCAGCGATGAGCAGGGATTCAACCACCTAGCAGATTCGAGTTTCGAATCATGTGTCGCCACCTCGTGTTCCCAAGTCACCTTGCTACGAGATCCCGAAGTCGGCGAGTCGGGAATAGAGAATAGAGAAGCTCCTTTCAGATTCCGGTTACTGCCTCATATGGTGCAGGGTTTGTACTAATCCCAACCCGGGCTAATAAATTCCTCACCTTCCCATCTCCTCAATGGTCCGTAGAAACACTCACAAACTCCAGATCACGAGACTCGGGCGTAGCTAAAGTGGTAAGACCTTCTGAAACTAAGAATCCTACTCAAATACTGACTATGTTGTTTTTCAGTGCACGAGGTAACTCAATATGCGGACTCTTATCCAGAACGCCCGTATGATCACCACAGACGCCAATGAACCACGAGAACTGTGCTGTTTGGCAGTCAATGACCACACTATTCAACACATCGGCCACCTTGACGACGCTTCCATCCAGAACTTCTTACGCCATGGAGAAGAAGTTCAGATAGTCGACCTTCAACGGCGCAATATCATGCCTTCGTTCATCGATGGGCATACCCACCTACTCCAATTCGGGATTTCCCTGTCCAAAATTTCCCTGGGAAATTGTGCCAACCTGGAGGAGATTCGACAGGTCATTCAATCGACTGCAAAAGAGGAACCAGATGCACAACGCTTGATTTTCCAGGCCTGGAAGCAATCGGCCACTGGAAGTCTCGTCAGTAGCGAAATGCTGAACAATCTCAGCGAACGTCCGATTTATATTGAGTCGCATGACTTGCACGCCGTATGGTGTAACGCGGCCGCTTTGAGAGAATTGGAGATCCCCGATGAGGGCATACCTGGCGGTCGAGTTCATCGCACTGCTGATCACTTGCCAACCGGCTTGTTCGAAGATGCTGCTGTCCTTGGCATTATTTGGCCGTTTTTGACACAATGCTTGACGCACGAAGAGAAGTTGGACCGACTCCGAGAAGCCATAGAAACATACAATCGCGCTGGCTATACTTCGGCCATTGATATGGCGGTCGATGAAGATTACTGGAATTTACTACAAGAGCTTTATGAGAGGGGAGAGCTCAGCCTACGCTTGGACGTCCACTTTTTGGTCTCTCCGACGGGCTCAACAGAGTCTGATGTAGAGCAATTGAGACGTGTCATTCAGCTTCACGAAGCGTACAACATCTTGACGTCTCCAGATTTCCGGGTTGCGGGTATCAAGCTCATGTGCGATGGCGTCATTGATTCATGCACAGCTGCCATCTCTGAACCGTACAAGTCGACTAGACAGTCCGTGCAGCCCTACTGGACCGCAGAAGCTCTGAGCGAGGTCCTGACCGCCGCAGATGATGGCATGCTGCAAGTCGCAATGCATGCCATAGGGGATGAGGCGGTTACTCGGGCAATCAACGGCTTGGAGGCGCTGGGTACGACGGGGAAACGGCATCGCATCGAACACTTGGAAGTCACCAAGCCCGAAGATGCAAAGCGACTTGGGCGCTTGGGCATCACTGCCTCTATACAGCCCGTTCATTGCGATCCCGTCCAGAACGTCGACTGGACCCCGCTTATCGGACAGAAACTATGCGGCAGAGCCTTTGCATATCGAGAGTTCGCGGACCACGGGGCTAGGATCGCTATTGGTAGCGATGCGCCTACAGCCCCTCACTCGCCGTGGAATAATCTCTTCAACGCAACAACTCGCAAATCTTACAATAGGCCGTATGGAGAGGAAACAATGAATGCGGAATTCAAGCTCACGCTCGTCCAAGCATTGGCGGCTACCAATATCGGCGCCGCCTACTCTTGTTTTGCGGAGGATATGGTCGGAAGCCTTGAAGTGGGAAAACGAGCTGATTTCATCGTCCTCGATCCGATAGGTGACTGGAAGGGGGAACCATTGTCACTTTTATCATGTAAAGTAACGAGCACTTGGCTGGGCGGGCGAAAGGCTTGGTCCAAAGACTAGGAGGCAGAAAAGAATAAATCTTGCTGCCCGAGAGCCCCTTTATCGCGTCGATGCCCCAGCTGGAAGATTTGTAATGGGCATTGTCACTTTCTTTAAGAGACCAACGTTTACTTGTGCGATGAACCAATGTCGTAGATAGCTTAGTAGTATAGAAAGATTCAACTCTCGTTGCGTGCGATTGCTGCGATTACAGAATCGATGTGGTCATGTATACCGCTAGACATGCAGGAATCATTCGTGTCGGTGACCTATGCTGACAACGTGCAGTGCGACCTTCTTGATTTGGAATGATGCATTCTTTATCAACACCCTTACGAAGGATCTAGTTACTATTTGCAGCCAATTAAGTGCCCCAGCTGGCACTGCTGCCTAAAGTGGTGTCGTCAAACACAGACTTTTGAGATGCCGAATCTTGTGGCCATAGAACTTAAGTATTAATCCAAGGCCTTTGTAAATCGGTAAAACATCGTCAAGCCCATTACCTGCAAAGATGGAGGTCGAGGTTTTTGACGTGATAATTGTCGGCGGTGGCACAGCCGGATGCGTGCTTGCCTCCCGACTCTCCGTTCGGCAAGACTTAAAAGTCCTCCTACTGGAGGCTGGAAGCAATAACATCAATGAAGAAAAGGTCACAACACCCTTGCTGAGTCGAAGAATGTTTGGAGATCCGAACTATGATTGGTGCTCAGAATCCTCACCGCAGAATGGCATGAACGGACGTGTCTTCCAGCATACAAGGGGCAAGATGCTCGGAGGAAGCAGCGGAATCAACTCCCACAGTCTAGTGTTTCCAAACAAAGCAATGCATGAGGCATGGGCCGAAATATCGGGAGATGAGCGATGGAGCTGGGAGGAGATCAAAACATACTACCGCGCATTTTATACAGAGCAGGTTCAAGACATTTCGAAACAGGTCCGACAAAGCCAAGGGCCTATACAAGCATCTTATCCGAAAGAGCTGAATGCTCTACAGAATGCTTGGGAAGAGGTATTCGACGACTTGGGCGCAAGATCTGATCATGATGGTTCATCTGGCGAAGCCCTTGGGGGTTTCACAGCCACCAATGCAATTGATAGCCGCCCTGGCCAAGGTGTGAGAAGCTTCGCTGGGAACGCTTACCTCCAACCGACTTTGGACCGAAAGAATCTTGTTGTCATCTCCGGAGCAGAGGTCGAGAGGATCGTGCTTGAAGGTGATTCTCACACCGACGAAGGAAAGTTATGTGCGATTGGGGTAGTCTATGAGAAGGCGCGCAAAACATCGCTAGTCAGAGCGAATAAGGAAGTCATCGTCTGTGCAGGCGCCCTGGGTAGCCCCAAGATTCTTGAGCAGTCCGGGATCGGTGATCAACGGATTCTGGAGCCTTTGGGTATTCAATGTTTAGTCAACTTGCCTGGTGTTGGAGGTAAGTGCATGCATACACTGACAAGGTGCATTCAATGTTCTGTTATCACTCATGCTGACTGCTGCGTCCCAGAAAATCTTCAAGATCATCTCAACTTTGGACCAAGTGTTGAGGTGAAGCCCGAAATTGAAACCATCGACGTCAACTTCAGAGACCCCAAAGTTCCTGCAGCTCATCGCGCAGAGTATGACGACGAAAGAACTGGGCCTTTGGCAGAAGGGGCGGCGTACAGTTTCGCTCATTGGCCTCTGCAGCTCTTCAACTCGCAAAGCGAAGAGAAAGAGCTAAGGGAGCTTCTCCAACGTTCACCTCGAGTCGGCAACGAAGCTACCAAAGTACATCACGAATTCATCGATCGGATGATCCTCGACGACCATGAAGCGAGCGCAACTGTATTCATGACTCGAGTGCAAAGATACACCAGCCGCACCAACCCAGCCCCAGGTAATTACATGACCATAGTGGCCATGCTGGCTCATCCCTATAGTCGAGGATCTTGTCACGTCAAGACTGCGGATTGGCATGATCAGCCGAAAATAGACTGCGCTTATCTCTCGAATCCCCTCGACATTGAAATTCTCGCGCGTCATGTTCAGCAAATTGATAAATTGTTGACTAGGGACGCGCTCAGTGGCTTATTGAGAACGGATGGCAACCGTCTCCCAACAGCAGCGGCACCTCAGACTTTGGCGGAGATCAAGGAGCACATTCGAAGTTTCGGTGCTACAAACTACCACCTCTGTGGCACATGCGCAATGATGAAGGACGACTTTGAAGGCGGAGTTGTAGATGGGGAGCTTCTCTTACGTGGCACAACGAACGTTCGTGTGTGCGATGCTAGTATTTTCCCGATCATACCGCGAGGGAACATACTAAGCACAGTCTATGCAGTGGCAGAGAAAGCGGCGGCATTCCTTTCAGAAACTTATAGCTCCAAAAGCTGACAGCTACATTCTATCGAACTAGTTATGGAGGGATCACTTTGTCTTAATATAAAAATCTTTGTGACTATTACTGGCCCTAGTCCTTTTTAATCATATTACTCTCTCTATTTTAGTATCTTTAACGCAAGTTTATCATCACTCTTTTTAATTTCTTTCTAAACAATATTACGTTAATAAACTTCATTATAAAAACCTTTAGTATTTATGAATAAATTAATATCATCTCATTACTATTCACTTTAGTTAGAAAGCCAGTCTGAATAAGAGTTCTAAACAAAAGTTAATTTATTTTATTAGCGTTGTTATTAATTCAAGATGTAAGAGTTTAGTTTAAAAAGATTTACTATGCAATATAATAAGTACTTGGCTAGGCTGGCAAAAGGTTTGGTCTAAGAATTAAAATATAGGAAAACTAGCCTTGCTATTCCGAAGCCCTCTTATTTGTTTCTCAAGTGGAATGAAAAAGATTGATTTATAAAGCGGCTAAAAGATCAATCACCGACGCCTAAGACCGAACTGGAATGAGACGCGTCCAACATGGCTATTCTCGAGGCGGCATTTGTCAGTCTCAATACCAGTGATTTTCTCAAGTAAGTTGTAGAGCGAAAATGTCAAGCTAAGCAGTATTCGTAGATGCAATCTGACGTGTCCCCATGGGGCAGGCCGTACCAAAGAGCATCCATTCCCGGTTTGGAGCCTTGAAATGAATCTCCAACTTCTGACCTACTCCGTTGGACAAAGGAATAGATAGCCACGGCTGATGTCTAGGACCGATGCTTGGATATTGCCAATGACGCAGGATTGGTGCTTATCGATCTAGACTAGCGATGCGTTCCATTAAGGATTTGAAGGTTCTAGAACTTGTCGGACAATTTTGAGAGTTATGATTCATATTCTAGCCTCTCGAATAGCCAACGCAAATGATCCCGCCGCTCCTGGCCCTAAGACTACAGTCGCTATAGTGAGATAAATCAATTCCTGAAACTCGTTCGGCGAACTCGTCCCTTTCGATTTCATCTTTTCAACCCCATCCTTCCGCGAGAGAAGTAGATGCGCAAACACAATGGTGGTGAGACATACAACAATCCAATCCCACTGCGAGAATAGGTGAAGATTCTCCAGCAGCGCAGCGTACTCGACAGATGTTACCTCCTTTTTCATCAAGGACTCGTATGGGTCTTCAAAGCCTCGCGCCGGAAGGAACAGTCTCAGGAGTGATGCGTCGGTATCTTGTGTGAGTAGCGAGCCGACCGAGGTATAGAAGTGCACGGCTGAGGCGACGATACCGGCAAGTATGAGCGATGCGACTACCCACTTTCTTCCTTCTTTGACAGATGACTGCGTTGTGCCCGTATATTTGCGAGGGAGAATTGCCACGAGGCTGAGATGGGAAGCCATGACCAATATGGGGGCCACCTGGAAGAGTGCAATGCATCCATGGTGAAGGCTGCTGCCCCCATTTCCACTCCACGCCGGCGCAAACACGAGAAGCGGTTGAAGCAAGATGACGAGTGTCGTCAGCGGGAATGCCGCCGCTTCGTGCCAGGGCATCGAGGCATCGCGGACGCGGGCCTTGCTGCTGCAGACTGCGTACAGATACAGCGGTAGGATGATCGCGGCGCCGTTGGCGTTGCAGAGCACCAAGGCCCAAGCCGGATATCTCAAAAGCAAGGACCGAACGCTTCGACGCCTCGATTCAATAAGAACCCAGAGATTCGCGCATGCAACAGCGTAATTGATGTCGAAGAAGAGGAGGCGAGGTCCGGATGTGCGGGCATTTGTGAGCACATCGTAAAAGGCGGAGAGGAGTGTGAGCTGGGCGTCTACGGCGGCTAGGCCTGTGTATGAGGAGCGGAGGGGACGGTCGTCTGGGAAGCGCAGGGTGCTAGTAACTGTTTCAAGGCGTGCAAACATGCCGTTGAAGAATGCGTAGCCCCAGAGACCCCATACTCCTAGGGCACTGAGGTAGAAAAGTTGTGTCTTTGAGGTTTGAAACATGATAACGCAGGTAAGACGATTTGTTCACAAGAGGCGTTGGGAAGTGACAAGTGTGAATTCTTGTGCTAGAGTATTTGACTTGGGAGACGCGAAATGGAGGCAAGGATGGTGATCCTGTCTGTCTGTACATCCCCGACCGAGCCCCACGGTGACTGCCGGCCGGCATGGGGTGACTTAACCCGCCCTAATGTCGGTTGTCAGCCGCCAAGAAACGGGACGAAACGGCCGCTCTCTCATCATTGGCTCCGTTTCTCGACCCCGATCCTTTGATCGGTAGAGCGGGGACAAGGCCGATGGGCCCGCTCGAAGGTCGATTCCGCCGAGTCCGGCCACATAGATTTTCCTCAGTGATGATGACATGCCGCAAGTGATACCAAAATCAAAGGTTGCGTGCTTTGCATTTGAAAGAGAAAACTGAACATCATCTTCGGCGCAAACATTCCATTTTCGTTGCTACCCATCAAGACATCAACATTTTTCCTAGCCGATACTGTATACACGATGACAGACGGCTCTACCTCCTTCATAGTGATCATTGTCGGCGCGGGCGTCACGGGTCTCACACTGGCCCACTGCCTCGTCAAGGCAAACATCGACTATGTCCTATTGGATAAAGGCATAGTAGCTCCGAATTTCGGAACAACCATCACACTCCAGCCGCATGGGTGCAGAATCTTGCACCAGCTGGGCTGTCTAGATGCCGTGATGGCCACGTGCGATGTGATGGGCGGTGCGCAGTGTCGCGACCCTTCTGGCAAAACCTTTGCTTCGAATGACTTTTTCGGTGTCGTCAGGAAATTGTCAGTTCAATGTTGCCATCGTCTCGCGAGTCGCCAGTTCCCCCATGACGTGGAAGACAAGCTGGCTATAGTAAGACATGCTAATTTCGGGAGATAGCGCCGGCTATGATACTAGAACCCTGGATCGGCAGGTTTTTTTGCGCAAATTGTATGAAAAGCTGCCAGATCATTCCAAAGTATACGAGAAAGCACGCGTTGAGGAGATTATTGAAGAAAACTCCAAGACTCGCGTCATCCTGGCGGATGGGCGTGAATTCGTTGGAGACGTAGTGGTTGGCGCAGACGGTGTTCATTCCAAGGTTCGCGAAATCATGTGGGATAAGGCAAACGCGGCCAATCCCGGAATGATTACAGTTGAAGAGAAGCGAGGTATGTAAAAAGCTCTTTCTTGACCATCAACGCATCAAAAGCTGCTAATAACTACATACAAAGCAATGGTAACCCAGTACAATGCCATCGTCATGGCATCGTCTCCCGTACCTGGTCTGGGTTCCCACGACATGGAAGTCACCTCAAATGACAAGTTCTCTTTCCTGCTCCTGTGCCAGCCGGAGTGGATATCAATCATTGTACACAACAAGTTGCCCAAGGAACAGCACTGCACCTGGCCCACACGTCGGCGATACACCGAATCTGATATGGAGGCTCTGGTCAGCAAGATCTCAGAGTATCCTGTCACGGAAACCGTTGTCTTTGGAGAGTTGTGGAAGAGGCGCCTCAAGGCTCAAATGATTTCGCTCGAGGAAGGCGTGCTGGAGAACTGGTTCTTTGGGAGGATTGTCTTGGCTGGAGATGCTGTCCATAAGGTAACATTGCAATCTTCTATGCATGATTGCATGTCTTTCGTACTCCGGGCTGATACGTCATGTTCTCATCGCAAAGGTTACTCCAAACTCGGCTCTCGGCGGCAATACAGCAATGGAAGACGCCGTCACACTCGCAAACACGATCCACGCCCTTCTCGGCACGCATTCCAATAAAAAACCGAGTGATGTTGAGCTGCGCGATGCGATGCGAGACAAGTATCAAAACACTCGCGTCGACCGTGCGCGGGCCATCGTGAAGGTCGGGGGTGATCTCACCAGGCAACAGGCTTATGACGGTTGGAAGGCCTACTTCGTGCAGCGATGGCTGACGCCCATCGTGGGCCTTGATACTCTTGCGAAGAACATTGCTGGATTGTGTGTTACGGCGCCAAAGCTTACGTATGTGGACTTTGACGAGAAGAGGGGGATTTTAGGGTGGCAGGATACACTGTCTGCTATAAAGGAGAGGGAAGTTCGAGGAGAAGATGAAAGACTCAAGAGTGGACCTTCGTGGGGTGACTTGAACGGGGGCTTTGAGTCTGTCTTCCCGCAGGTGCTAGCAATTTTAGTTGCTTTGTGGTTGGCTATTTGCGTCTTTCACATTGTCTTCTCTAGACAGTCGATACCTGGTTTTGGCAGGGAAATATGGCAAACCGTGGGAAAGGAGAATGACACTTTCGGAGTTGCAGTATGATACAAACGAGGCCAGTCCTAGACCCATGCAAGCATAGTCAGAACTTCTTGATTTCCAGGAAGCGGCTATTTGAATTATCACGAGTTAATGATAGCATGATTTTGCAGCCGTTTACATCCATATTACAACCGAAAATGAGATCACTTGCTTTTCTTCCCAGACACAGCAAATCATGCTAATTTTATGAGTCTGATAAATCTAGGACTAAGTTCCCAAGCAGTGTATATAAAAGGCTTAGGTACTTGGATTATAGAGCCCACATGTAGGGAACCCGGTATTGAATGTATGCACGGCGTTGATATAAATGATGATGATTTACATGTTACATTTGCGTGAACCTTCATTTCGTATCTTACACACAAAGAAATCTTCCTCTCAAAGTTTGGGACCGTGGGCTTTTCTACAATCTCAACTTGATGATCCCCGGACCTTCAGAGCTTCATCGCCTTTCCTAGGTGGCCAATATACTTAGTGATATGATCTCTCTCCAGGCGCAACGTGATTTTGATTCCATCCTACGCCGCTACCAGCGCTTCTGACTTCTTGCCACCGCCGAGCTTAGCTTGCTGCCGAATGTGTTAATATATACTGCAACTACAAGTGGGGCATCTCGACTTACGAGCAGCGGAACGGAGCAAACCACACTCAAAGCGGCAGCAGCCAAGAAAAAGGCCCAGATGCTTGTCATGGCGCTTGAAATTTCGGGGATCACAAGGGCCTTCTCTGCGTCTGTGAGCGCCTGGAATGCCCTGCTGCTAGACCCCGCAATAAGGTTGCCAATCTCGGCAGGAGAAACGTCTGGGAGCGCCCTGCCGACCTTGTCTACCGCCACGTTGTGGAAGAGACTGCCGCTGATGGCCAGAAAGAGAACCATACCGAGATCTTGTGCTAAAATTTGACGATCCTTGTTAGCCTTATGCATGATGGAGGGAGCAGAGGTCTGGAACGTACAGATCGTCATGGCTCCCACGGCATTGGCGATTTCGTGGGTCGGAACCAGTGATTGGACGATGGCGAACCCGGCTACGATGTAGCAACCGGCGCCGGTGCCGACAAGTATATTGTAGCCGTAGATTTTCGAATTCGATGTAGTCTCGTTTACGGTGTCTGTAATCCATGTTAGGCACAGGACCAACCTCAAATTTCAATTGAACTCTGACTGCACTAGGCAGTCCATCGTGGGATACGGAATTGAAAAATGACTCACACATTAGAGCGGCCCCAATCAGCGCGAGACAACTTCCCCCAATGTACCAGACAGGAATCAGTCCATATCTCGGCATCAAGAAGCCGTTGGCCATGGATGCAACGACCATGAACATGATTAACGGAAGTAGACGAACACCGGCCTGGAGAGCCCCATCGTCCTGACAGATCCAAATTCAGCGCAAGTTTCGGGAGAATGTCTGATATCATACCTTGACAAACTGGAAGTAGAGCGGGATATAGTATGTCATAGCCTGGGACATGTCAGCATCATGCTCAGTAACCATCCCTAGCATAAGGTAGGTAACTTACCAAGATAATGCCAGACGACAAGAAGACTTGAAGCTGCATGTTGATCAAGGTAAGCTTTTTGAAGAAGTGCAGAGGGTATAAACGATTCTCTTTGGTCACCAACGGATGCAACTTGAGCATGACGATGAAGGCCACCAGCAAAACACCTGTTACGGTCCACAGCGCGATGACGGTTCCGGAATTGAAAGCGTAGACGACACCACCAAATGTTAGTACCACTGTTAGACAGGCGGATCCGGCGAGAAAGATGACGGCGTTGACCCAGTCGACCAGACGAAATTTCTGTGCGAGGGTCTTGGAGGGGTGAGGGTCGACACTTGGAAAGAGGAGGAAGTAGGCTGGGGCGAATGCAGCGCCGACAGGCAGGTTAACGTAAAATCCCTGAATGTTGATCAGTGCGCATGTTCTACCGTCCCAGCAGGTGATCAAGATGTTTTTCTCTTCTTACCCATCTCCAGGTGGCACTGCTTGCTGCAAAGGCACCGCCAACCTAGGGAAGACAAGAAAGGTCAGCAAGCCCTTGTCAAGGCAGAGACGGGCTTCCCATGCTTACCACAGGACCGAGAACGCTACCGACGCCCCAAACGACGGTACTTCCAGCAAGGTATGCAGGCTTCTCCTGTTCGTTGGATAGGACCGAAACGTAGGTCAGAGTACCCGAGTACATGCCTGAGCCACCGACACCGGCGATGACACGACCAATGATGAGGGCCTCGATATTAGGGGCGGCGCCGCAGAGCGCGCTGCCTGCCTCGAACAGGAAGATATTGAAGATGTAGACCCACTTGATGTTGAAGACTCCGTAGACCTTACCCCAGAGCAGGATGAACATGGTACCCAGGGCGAAGCCGGTGCCGATCCATGATAGAAGCTCGAGGTGGCCAAAGTCGTTGATGATGGCTGGCTGGATGTTAGCAACGATTGTGTTATCGAGAGCAAAAAGGAGAGTCGTGGAGAGCATGGCAGCGTAGGCAATGCCCCACTGGGCGAGTAGAAACCGGACATGTTAGCTTGAGTGCAAGCACAGGATCGCTATCCCAGTTGTGATTGTTGTGGGGGCTTGCTTACCTTCCATCCATGTAGGTTACGAGGACTGGTCTTGTCAATTGAGGTGGCCTCAGTGTTGCCGTTACCAGAGTGTTCGGGGTATCCGTGAGTACCCAAGTCTGTTGCGCCTACATCCTTCTCGGCATTTGCCCCGTTTGGAGCCGAAGACGCGAGCTCGTTGTTCATGTTGGGGAATGTTCGGAGGCCTTGTAGATGGAAGGGTAAAATCTGCGTCGTATTTTTCGATGGCTGTAGAGAAGCAGGCTGGCTTGATTGAATGCAGAGCTTAGGAGGCCCAGCAAAATGGAGGGTGTGAATTTGCGGATTTCGAGAAGGACCTGCCCGATTATACGACACCCAACCGGGACTTGATGAACAATACGGAGGACGGACGCGGGACGGAGACGGACGCTAAACGAGACCCACTTGATGCACTGCCCACAGAAAGGACACAAGACACGGGCCCGTTTTGACCGACGGCGAGTTTTAATTCGCTGATGCACGATGGGTCCCCTACGCTAGTCCGCCCCCACCGAGGAAGGCTTCCGATTGGCGAAATAGGTTGACGACCGTTTGTTTGTAACGGTGATCGCCTCAGTCAAAATGAATTGAGAAAGTACGGCGCAGTGTACTTGCCCTCTTCATTGACCTTGCCTTAGTAAGTAGACTTACTATACCTTTGGTTCCGAAAGTTGATGGGAGGCGTGCACTGATACAAAGTCATTGGCTGGGCTACTTGAGAGACATCAAATCGAAGAAATAACGTGGAAAGCTTCATGTAGCTGTATAGAATTACAAGATTATTCACGATCCAAATTGGCATATCGAGAGCCACTATTTGCAAAACCATGTGATATACCTTACCTTGCACGTCAAGTCTCAAGCTAATGTTCTCATCAAGCCGCTGTAGAGTGCTCATTTCCTTTTGCGGTGCCAGTCGAAAGCCCTTTCGCGATTCCATTCGTCTCTTTTTGTTCCACTCTCTCCTGCCGAATGTTTCGGTACTCATCCAGAATAGTGGAATAGTCGCTTGGCTTATATCTGACAAACCACTCCTCAAAGACACTGCTTTTGCGAAAGGGATTGAGACCCAAGTCCTTCATCAATGTGTCGATGTACTGAATACTTGATATCAGCCCAAGGCCTTTGACAAGATCTAGAAGAAATTGACAGCATACCGGGATATAGTCGTATATGAAATAAGAGTGTTTCTTGCCCTGCTCGAGATATCTCTTCCTCGTCCACGCATTAAAAGTCGCAGCTTCAAATTCCATTTCATCCCTGGACGGGAGATCGCGCCACCCGAGCATCCAGGAAACTCCCCAAAGCGCTTGGAGTTCGGCCGCCAGTGGTGTAAACGCCGAATGAATATGCCCAGGAAAGAGTATTGATCGGTCGCCCCGTGCCGCCAACGCAGGTACAACCAGACGGCGGAAATGTCTGTTGGGCCCTTGTTCCGCCATTCCAATAGCTTTCACGTCGCCATATTGTTCCGGGGCAGTCTTGAGATACGGAAGAAGCTCGTCGACGGTCCTTTCAGCCTTTTCGTCTAGCATTGTCCACCGTGAGAACACCTTGGTGTCATATTGTAAACCGAGCTCCTCACGGAGCTCGTGATCAAAAGTATCGTATCCCTTGTCAAATCCGGTGCAATGAATCACAATATCAGTTGCTACAGAGTATCCATTCTTCAAGTTGACAACGTCTTGATGCGACAGACACTCAATTTCCGTCGAATGAATCGTGACATCGCCTCGATGAAAGACTTTCCAAAAGTCAGGGGCGGTAGCAATACCGATGCCGCCGCTTCCCCAGCATACTCTGAACGATGGGTTCGTCAGCTGAGTCTCTGGTTTTGATACTATAATACTCACCCATCGCTATATGGTCTCGGCCGCAACTTCTCAGCATTCGGCGTCTTCCAGTATTCTGCATGTGATACGGACAGATAGTTGGCGGTTCTCCAGTAGATATTTGTCAACACCCGTCCGATGGCATTTCGTTGGAAGAAACTGTAAGGCATTCCAGATGTTGACATGATGCATGGACTGAAGCTTGAGGCGAACCGAGTTGAGATGTGGTCGGCAATATTCCATAGCCCCAAGAACGCCGGGGCATAAAGGCTGAAAGGACCGGATAGCCCATCACGCATGACCCAGTCAACATTCTTCCCCTCGCACAGCAGGTGGTAAACAGCGTCGTATGATGACTTGGAACGACCAACGACGGTAGCTCTCCGCACACTGCTCGAAATATACTCTTGATGTGATCCAAGCTCAAGCGAGTGGATTACGGGCTTCTGGAAGTTGTCTCTGGGCCATTTGGGAATGATGGGGCTAGAATTGGCTCCTGTAGCGTAGATGAGCTTGTTGCATTTTAGGTGATCTCCACCTTTGATATCGAGGATCCATCCTTCCGAGCCGGCTGGCCTCCTTGCAACCCTGGTCACGCGGGTCTTGAGGCGGAGCCTAGGCAGTAGGCCGTGATCTCTGGCGAAACTGTTAAGGTAATTGTGTATCGTCTTCCCGGAGACGAACCCATCAGGCGAGATCCCATCTTTGGACATCGGGTAGAAGGAGTATTGGAATAGTGGGTGGCTAATCTGAGCAAACAGGCTGGGATAAATTCGCTCCTTGGACCAGACCCCGCCGACTGTGCTGCTGTCATCGACGATGATGAGATTTGTCTCAGGAGCCAGCTCCAAGTATGTGCGAGCCGCCATTAGACCATACCATCCTGTGTAAACTATTAGCAAGACAACGATAGAGACTAAATCTCGGAAACTGTTCACTCACCAGCACCGACGACGATAACATCAAAGACATCTACGCCTTGCCCATTTGTCGACATGTTGAGAAAGCTGGAAGATGAAGTGGTTACAGACTCTTGCACATAGAGGTTCAATGATTTGAATAAACGTGACTCAGATGTCAGATTGATGGAATACAGGAGATTGTTGGTTTGTTTTGAGGCTCTCTTTCCTGCCTCGCCATTGGGGAGCCAAGGTCAATACCGCCAAGTCCGATGCTAATGCAGAACCGGTGCTCTCCGGCTTACCCTGCCTCGGGCGAAGGATTCGTCCTCCGAAGGAACGGATCGGCCGTTCCGACGGCGCAGGTTGGCCAACGGCGAAGGATTCCTATCATCCCCCACGGAGATCCCGCTCAAAAGTGCCAAAAGTTACGGGAGGTGTTGGAGCAGCATCTGGAACGTTTCCAGGAATTTACTGGGTCAAGCTTCTGCTCGACGCCACAAACAGACGTAGCAAGACGGATGAAGGGTATTCGGGTTGCGGACACAGCACTGCACAGCGCATGCGCATTTGGGCGTATGAGAAACTCGGTGGATATCCACAGGCTTGAATTACCGTGATTCCCCGTTAATATATATAGCATTGTCGATATGATCATGAGCTGCCAATATATCTTGTAGGTAGTAAGTGGCAGCATATAAAGTCTTAGGATTATTAGAATATCTGTCCCTAATCTTTGATTCATAACCTGGCCAATTTTCAGACGCTCGTAAACCTTTCACATCAACACACCATAGACAAAATGCCTCATTTCCATGAGACATCCTCGAGCGCTTCAGACGCAGCTCCCAAATTTGACCCTGAAACCGGAGGAGCTCATCAGCGCATCGTCAGCGATGATGAGTACGCCGCTTCTTCATCCTCAGAGGTGCCACTAAGCCAGCAGCTGGAGCCAATCGCAGTCGTTGGAATGGGTGAGATCTCCGACGCACATTGCGGTCATTGCCGAGCTGCTGCTGACACATAGGAATCAGGATGCCGCCTGCCGGGCGATGTCAGCTCCCCGTCCGACTTTTGGAATTTGATGATGGAGAAGGGCAGTGGCCAGACGCCCAAGGTCCCTCCGTCCAGGTTCAACATCGACGCCCATTTCCATGCAGATAATGACCGGCCTGGCAGCTTTGGTGTACTTGGCGGCTACTTCCTCAATGAGACTCTGCAAGAGTTTGATCCGGCCTTCTTCGGCATAACTCCAGTCGAAGCCACGTGGATGGGTTAGTGTTGTCCTTGGAGCTTTATCAACAAGACATTTGCAGCAACATCAGCAGCCCACTGACGAATTTCATCTCTAGATCCGCAGCAGCGGAAGCTTCTAGAGGTCGTCTATGAAGCCTTCGAGTCAGCCGGTCTGACCCTGGACCAGCTCTCCGGATCGGACACAGCCTGTTTCATGGCCACGTTCACGGCAGACTTCCAGCAAATGTCCTTCAAAGAGCCCTCGTTCCGTCACAGCCTGGCAGCCACCGGTGTAGACCCCGGCCTCCTGAGCAACAGAGTCAGCCACGTCTTTAACCTTCGCGGCCCTAGTATTGTCGTCAACACGGCTTGTTCCTCATCTGTCTACGCCCTACACAACGCATGCAACGCCCTGCGGACGTACGAGTGCTCAGCTGCTGTCGTCGGCGGCAGTAATCTCATTTTGACCGTTGACCAGCACATGAACACCGCAAAGCTAGGCGTTTTGTCGCCAACGTCTACGTGTCATACGTTCAACAGCTATGCGAACGGATACGGACGCGCTGAGGGCGTTGGGGCCATCTATCTCAAGCGCTTGAGCGATGCTATCAGGGATGGCGACCCAATTCGTGGCGTCATCCGTTCCAGTGCAACGAACAACAATGGCAAAGCTCCAGCTGTTGGCATCACTTATCCAGGATTTGACGGGCAAAGAAATGTCATGAGGCAGGCATATAGGCGCGGTGGTCTGGAACCCATGCTGACAGGATATTTCGAGTGCCACGGAACGGGCACGGCAATAGGAGATCCGCTCGAGGTTCACGCCGTGTCGGATGTTATGAACGGGGCTCGGACTGAGGCTGACGGGCCTCTGCATATCGGCGCTGTCAAGACCAATATCGGACATAGCGAGGCGGCCAGCGGGCTATCTGCCGTTATCAAAGCTATACTTATTGTCGAAAGAGGCATCATACCGCCCACGCGAGGCGTTACCGAACTAAATCCAAAAATTGATTGGCAAGGTTGGCAAGTCGATGTGCCCACGAATCCTACACCATTTCCAAGCGGACTACCTGTAACCAGAGTCAGCGTCAACTCCTTTGGGTAAGACCTAATCAAACTTTTTCATCCAACGGTTTTCAAGTAAATGGTTCTGAAGGTTTACTGACTTAGAGTCTAGATACGGCGGCACAAATGCGCATACTATTATCGAGAGCCCCAGGTCCTTGCTAGCATCACCACAAGCCTACAAGTATTCAATGCCTGGGAACACAAGCAAGGGAAAGTTGGCGCGAGGAACAGTGAATCGCAACAGACCATATCTATTACTCTTTTCTGCTCACGAGATCGGAGCACTGAAGAGAAACCTCGCGGCGCTTGGAAAGGTGGCCGTGGACTACAGCTTGCTCGACCTGTCTTACACCCTCGCCAACCACCGTACACGCTTCCCGAGCAAAGGCATGTTAGTCACGACGCCGGCTACTCTTCATGGAACCTTCATCAACGGCACCCCCGAACTTGCTCTTGCAGACAGGAAGGAGACTGCCCACGTTCTCGGCTTCGTTTTCACCGGCCAGGGCGCGCAGTGGGCTCGCATGGGGGCGCAGCTAATGACTTACTATCCGACCTTTCTCATGTCGATCCGACGGATGGACATGGTATTGGAAGACCTTGATGACGCTCCCTCTTGGACATTGGAAGAGGCGCTTCTCGAGGATCCAGCCGTCTCTAGAGTTAACCAAGCCGAGTTCTCCCAGCCGTTGTGCACCGCCATCCAAGTTGCCCTCGTCCAGCTCCTTCGTCTTTGGGGAATCAAGCCTTCAGTGACCCTTGGACACTCGTCTGGCGAGATTGGGGCTGCGTTTGCTGCCGGTCACCTATCCGAGTCTGAAGCTATTCTGATAGCGTACTACCGTGGGCAAGTAGTCAAAGACATCGACACTGCTGGCGCAATGATGGCCGTGGGCCTCGGCGCAGAAGCTGTGGCTCCCTATATCGAGGCTCATCAGACAGAAGTCGTGATTGCTTGTCATAACTCTCCATCTGGCGTCACTTTGAGCGGCAACGTCGACGCCTTGAAGACAATCGAAGCAAATTTGCAGACAGAGGGTATCTTTGCTCGCCTTGTTAAGACAAACGGCAAAGCTTATCATTCACGACACATGCTCCCAGCCACCGAAAAATACGAGTCCCTTATCCGCAAAGCTAGACAGGCCAGCCTCACGAAACTAATGTCAGACAAAGCGAAGATGGTATCGTCAGTGACCAACTCTGTTCTGTGTGAGGACGCAGTACTTGACGAGAAGTACTGGAGCGCCAACCTCGTTAGTCCAGTCCTCTTTAATCAAGCAGTGCAAACGGCCCTCACGAGCAAGGATCTTCCCGCGATCGACATCTTGATCGAGATCGGACCTCACTCGGCACTTTCAGGACCCATTCGACAAATTAAGACTGAAATGAAGGCTGAAAAGCTTCAGTACTTGCCGACTCTCACCCGTGGTTCTCGCTGCGCCGAACAAGTCCTCAAACTGGCTGGGGAACTGTTCCTGCGCAACTATCCCCTTGGTCTCGCGACAGTCACGGCAATCGAGGAGGTGTACCCATCTGGTAAGATCATTCCTCGCAAGGGCAACCTCATCGTGGACTTGCCGCCTTACCAGTGGGACAAGACAAAGAAGTTCTGGGCCGAGTCGCGCGAGAGTAGAGAGCACCGGTTTCCATGCTTCCCGCGACATGACATTCTAGGTCAATTAACGATTGGCGGATCCTTGGCCGAGCCAACATGGCGCAATATCTTGCGCATCAAGGATCTCCCATGGCTTCAGGACCACTCGCTAGGAGGAGAGGCAGTCTTCCCTGCTGCCGGATATCTTTCTATGGCCATGGAAGCGGTGTCTCAGATCAACGAGACTTCTGACAGTCCGGTCATCATTGACTCGTATGTGTTTAGGGGTGTCGCCATTCAACAGGCCTTGGTTACACCTGATGACGACAGTGGTATCGAGGTCCTGCTAAACATGCGCTCCTCGAACCTTGGCAACGGCGAAGCTAGCAAAAGGTGGTGGGACTTCAACGTCTCATCCGTGTCAACAGAAGGCCATCGCAAGAATCACATGGCGGGAAGCATCAGCTTCAACACAGAGCGGCACAGGCCCGCCGCGAAGCAAGTTCCAAACCTCCCGCAACGCGCATCTGGGAAGCTCTGGAACCAGGCCCTGAAGCAAGTTGGTTTCAACTACGGGCCGACATTCCAAGACATGGATAACATCACCTTTGATGGATCCACGTACTGTGCACATGCCACGACAAACATCAAGACTGCCGTCATGAAGAATGAGTCCCGCCATGTGCTTCACCCGGCGGTCCTCGACTCGTGTCTTCAGCTTATGATCGTCGCCATCTGGGCTGGCCGCGCCGGCGCGATGCAGTTCGGTGCAGTGCCTGTCCGCGCCGAAGAAATTCTCATCTGGAAGCCTACCGCGGAGCAGTCTAATGACGGTGAAGGTGCGGCTGCCACGGCTTTCTCTTGGATCGACCCGCGTGGCCAAAGAATCTTCAATGCTCACAATCAACTGGTAGCGGCTGATGGTCAGATTTTGATGGAGATTCGGAGCATGCGCTGTACTGCGTACGAAGCCGCTATTCCGCAACGACTGGAGACCTTGATACAGCCTCAGCCGTACTCACAGATCGTCTCCAAGCTGGATGTTTCGTGGCTGAATGGTCCTCAGAAGAATCTTGAAGTTGTCGATTATGTTGAGCTTGCCGAGTTCAGAACACCAGGTCTAAGAGTTCTTGCTACCGACGCTACGATAGCAGGCTATCTGGTGGATCGGCTTCCTGACCTGTGCTTGACAGTTCTTGCCACCAGCACTAGCGAAGCTGAGATCGAATCAGAATGGAGGAAGTTCAGGAGTGTTACTCTTCAGAAACTCGACTGGGCAGCAGGCACAACGGCTGAAGCTTTTGACAAGATCCAGGACAAGTTTGACCTGATCATCGCCCCGAATACTTCTTCCAAAACATTGCACCTTGTTTCCAAGCTCATGGCCGACAATGGGAGCGCCATCCTTGGAAATGAAAATTGCCCAACGGATGAAGATCTGAAAGAAGTCGACATCGTAAGGTCAGACTTATCTTTGAAGAACGGTGCAGTTGTTACGTCCAAGGTTAGGGAGGTTCGAAAGCTCACATCAACGCCCGTTCAACTCGTGTACTATATGGCTTTGACAGAGCATGTCAATCGACTACAGAGAAAATTGGAGGAGTTTGGCTGCAAAGTTGAGACTTGCAAGCTGGGAGACACTTCCTCTTCCGCTGCCAATGTCATCATGCTGGCGGATCTGGAGAAACCATTGGTTGCTAACATGTCGGAGCTTGAATTCCAATATCTTCAGAGAACACTCAGCGATGTCACCAACATCCTGTGGATTTCCGAGGGTGGCATATCAGGTGCTGGTGTGGTTCCAGAGTACGCGATGACGAGGGGACTCTTGAGATCGCTTCGATCTGAGAGGGCTTCCCTGAGAGCAAGCGTTGTTGACTTTACCCCTCGCGACGTCGAATCCGAGAATTTCGTCTCCACAATCGCTTCATTGGCCGTTACGATCTTTGGAAACGAAAGAACGCTCGAGACCGAGTACCTCGTCCACAAAGGTCAGCTTGCCATCAGCCGCCTGGTCACATCAGACAAGATGAATCAGACACACAGGCACTCCAGTGGGGAGACACAACCACAACAGTTCACTCCCGAAGCCAGACTAGTAGGGAAAATGGAGTCTGGAAAAGTCGTTTTTGACTTGGATGATCTTGACTCAGGGGAACCATCTCCAAACGAGATCGAGTTTCGTCCACTGGTGACAGGTCTGAATGGCGAAGGTTACACCGTGATATCAGGCGCCTCCTTTGAGACTGAATTCAGCTATGAAACCTCGGGCGTAGTCACACAGACTGGATCGGCTGTTACAAAGGTATCTGTGGGTGACCACATCGTGGCATTCAGCTCAGAGAAGTTCTCCAACTACCAGCGCGTCAATGAGAACCAAGTACAGAAGCTCGATGTCTCAGAATCCTTCACGACCATGGCAAGCCTACCTATGTATTACGGTGCCGCTTTGTATGGTTTACAAAATTTGGCAAGGCTTCAGAAAGGAGAGTCAGTTCTAATTCTTCCCGATTCTGGACAACTCGGAGCAGCCGCCATCAATGTTACACAAGCTCTCGGGGGTATTCCGTTTGTTGCTGTGCGCGGGTCAGCCGAAGCGGAAGACGTGGCAAGGATCTTTAACTTGAAAAGCGAGCACATCCTCCTCGAATACTCTCCTGAAATGCTGGTCAATCACGAGTTTGACGTGATCTTCTCGGGCAGCTCGACTGAACCAACAGTATCTCGAGAGGCCTGGAGGAACCTGCCTGCTTTCTCACGATTCGTGAGCTGCGGCACCGACATCACTTCCTCGTTTTTGGATGCCGTACCATCATCACGAGGGGCAAGTTTTCTCTCCGTGAACTCGGTTGGACTCTTCAAGAGGCCTTGCATACTTGGCCAGCTTCTCGAGCAGATTATCACACTGAACCGCCAAGGTTTGATTTCTGCCCCAGAACTAACCATCCGCAACATCACTGAACTGAATGAGACTGTCGCCACTTTCTCAAATAAGCTCTGTGATTCCAAGATAGTCGTCACACACGAAGCAAGGGGGGGTACAGTGGATGTAGTCCGAGCCCGTCCGCATTTGCGACTACGACCGGATGCCACTTACCTTCTTGTTGGATGTCTTGGCGGCCTCGGTCGTAGCCTCACATCGTGGATGATGAAACGTGGAGCGCGTAACTTTGTATTCCTTTCGAGGTCCGGCACCGACTCTGAGCAAGCCACCATCTTGGTCAAGGATCTGAAGGCTCGAGGCGCCAAAGTGCAGGTACTTAGGGGCGATGCTGCTGTGAAGGAAGACGTGGAGAAAGCTGTCGCCTCGATTCCGGATGATCGACCTATTCGTGGTGTTGTGAACGCCGCAATGGTCTTGAGAGTAAGCCGATTCCTCGTTTTCTTTTTGATGGAAACCCGGTTTCCTCAAGAGGCACCCTTAATGACACCTTTGATCATGCTGACGTGGTTGCAGGATGGTCTGTTCCAGAATATGCCATATGAAAATTGGATCACCTCAATTCGACCAAAGGTTTTAGGGAGTAAGAACCTCCATGATGTCACTGCTGAACTGCCTCTCGACTTTTTCCTCATGACTAGCTCTGTCTCTGGCATTCTAGGAACGCCGACACAATCCAACTACGCCGCGGCGAACTCCTACATGGACGCGCTAGCCCGTTTACGACGCGCTCAAGGTAAACCCGCATGCGCCGTGATTCTCCCCATGGTTCTTGGCGTAGGTGTCGTAGCGCAGAACCTCGAGCTGGAAGATTCCCTCAAGCGCAAGGGAATGTACGGCATCGACGAGGAAGCACTACTAGAAGCCTTCGAAGTCGCCATTCTAGAGCAACAACAACAGCATAATACGGAATTTGATCACCTCATCGTTGGCCTCGATCCGGCAGAGCTATATAAGACAAGTCGCGAGGTCGCTGGCGATGTGGACGCCTTTTGGGCCGCCGACCCGCGCTTCTCTGGGCTCGTACATGCCATGCAGGTCAGCGGTGGCGGCAGCCAGGGAGCCAGTGGCGGAGATGACGGCTCGGTCTTGACGCGGATCAAGGCAGTTGGTCAGGATTCGCCAGCCAAGGCCTCCCGGCTGGTGCGCGATCATTTTGTTGCCAAGTTGACGCGCGTTCTACTGGTCGATGAGGCTGACTTTGGAGAGGAGGAGAGTGGGCGGTCTATTGCGAGCTATGGAATTGACAGCATGATTGGGGCTGAGCTTCGGAATTGGATTTTCAAAGAGCTATCGCTTGACATTGCTTTTCAGCAGCTCTTAAGCCCTTCGCTTACAATTTCAAAGTTTGCGGAGCTGGTGTGTGTCACTCAAGGAATACTCGTGGAGTAGGGAGTAGGAGACCGTATGTCATCTCCATGGCTCAACTGGGCGGTTTTCGTGGCTTCAAGTTTTCAAAGTCTCCTTGCTTTAATTGGATTCATTGGATGCTCTTGAGTTTTGTCGACCTCGCCAGCGCTCGAAGTACCGGATCTGATAAGAAGTAAGACCTAGATTCTGTCGTCTTCTCTTTCTATTCAACTAGCCAATTACTGAAAATCTACGGCCCATCTTTCTGAGCTGAAATTCTTGTCTGCTTCTTCTTTTTGGTTCTCTAGTTTAGCTTTTCTTCATATCTAATTGACGAATAATTTCTGGTATGTGCGGTTTGAGTTGGCGTCTGAGCCCTCATAGTGCCAGGGAATCAAAACCATTCTTTTCATCCCATTCCTGCAATTTGGCTTCAACATGGAAAACACACTGGTGCCAATATCCACCAGATTCCTCGATGTGGTCCAAAGCCGCGAAAAGCAATCTCGACGAAGCAACGACCCCATTCACCGTCTCGCGGCTTCCACCATGAATTAGCTCTCGGTACAGCGCCTTGAGGGCCATGGTGAGCGGCCAAGCAATGAAGATAGCTTGTAACATAATGATATCGCTGTCTGCCTTCCACGGTGAAGGCAAGTTGAGTCGCACGGCACTGGAGATTTGGAACGCCGCGGCCGTGGCGCGCCGCTGGCTTTCAGCCGTCATGAGTGGCGGCAGCCCTTGTTCTCCGCTTTGCCTTATGGCAGACTCGTGCGAGAAGATCTCTGTTGCGCGCAGGTTCAGGTACAGACTGAAGGCTACGGGGTCCTCCCGTATTGAGGTGGCATTGAGGTGCCGCTTGAGCATACTGAAGAGCTCATCTGTGGTCTTTACTAACGCGCAGTACCCATCCCAGAAGCTGGTTGTAGCACGTCGTTGTCCGTGGTCGAAGCAACGTAGGGCCAGGTCTACCATCAAGACGCAGCCTGCGTAGGATGAGATCTCCTGCCATTGATCGGGACGTATTTCCCAAAGAAATGGCATGTTGATTGGAACCAGATCAGATCTGAGTAGCCCTGGTGAAGGCAGCTTTATTCGGAAATTCTGAAGAGTACGTCAGTTTGAGCGATTTGTAGAATTTACAGATTGATTATACGTCGGCCATACCTTCACATCACCCAACTGACACTGCCACCCTGTGCGTGTCTTTACGTAGCTCTGCAAAATATAAAGTCCCCAAAAGGTACGACGTCGTTCTTCCAAAATCACAGGGTCATCAGTAGGCGGCAGACGTGAAAGGGGACCACTCGGTCCTCCGTCATCCTGTGAGGGTTCACTGTCATCGCCCTCGTCCATTCGATGTATACGGAGAAGCCTGCAAAGCAGAGCAGCACGCCCCAGAGTAAGCCAGCTTCTTTCTAGTTTCCGATCCATGGCCTCAAAACGACCTATGAACAACAGAGCCTGTACAAAGTTGATGTCGTTCAATCCGCCGTCACGCTCGCACTTCTCCGCGTGATTACGCGCTAGACTGTAGCAAGTAGACTGCCGGTTGGGGTCTTTAGGGGAATGCGCACAACCAGCGAGGGCCACGGCGTACACCAGGGCGCTCACCGCGGGCCCGCTGCTGCCCGTCGATTCAGCCAAGAAACGGTCTCTGTTAAGGAATGGAAATGAAAAGTAGACGGAATCGAAGTAATGGTTGTGTAACGTGCTCAGTTCCGCTGGTGAGATTTCTTCTTCGGGGCTACTGTTAGATAACGATTGCGGTGAGAGGCGATTGAGTAGGAGGGTGTCCAGGGGTTCGAGCGCCGCCAGCGAGTGATTTGTCCAATCGAATAACAGGCTAGTGTCCTCGCCTTCGGTAAACGAGGTGAAAAGATCAATGTCGAGCATGGATGAGTTGGTCAAAGGCAGATCAATTGCGGCACTCATGTTTCTGGACTTATCCACATTCACGGGTGTGCTGGTAGTCGACAGCCCTGGAGCCGGAGCGATTTGGGTCTGCAGTGTCGTCACTGGTGGCAGTTGGTACTGAGAACTTCGTCGCGAGCTCGTATTCGGCGTGATTGTATCCGGTGTCTCTGGCCAACGCGATACTACCGCTTGCTCCGCGGCGCTTGACCGCGATTGCGGGCGCAGTAACGAAGGACCCCGAGGTGTGTTCAGCGCGAGCTGAGCCTCGGTCTTGGCCAGACGGTCTTGGAGCTGCTGCAGCTGCTCATCTCGTGTCCTACGTTGATGAGCATGATTGTAGCTGCACGGCTGGTTGAGACGATCGCATCGTCTTCAGACAAGCGCGAATGATCAGCCTTATGGTCTAAAGCCTGACGTGGGCGCGATGCTAATTGTAAGGCACGTATGAACTCAAGCTGGTGGAGTTGTAACACACCTGCATTTTGGCAGTCCTCGATCACACCGGACTTTGCGTTCTCTACAATGTCGCGCGGTCAGCGGTGTCGTATTGAGTGACCTTCATTTAGGCGGACGGAAATCTTGCCTGCAAATTTCACAAGCATGATGCGCTGTAAAGGGAGTCCCGCTAGAGGACGGTCTCATTGTGTTGACTGTGAGAGCTTGTTGTTTGCGAGCGACTTGCCGCGGTGATCAGTCGGTCAAAGCGAGCTGTTCTTCATCCAACTCAACATCTGGGTGCTCTCGGTATGATATCCATGAGATGATGCAGCATGGGGAAAAAAAGCCTGACGTGTTGTCCTCGGCAAGCGATGCGACGGCAAGGCTGTGCCCCAGATGTGCCTCCCTCTATCTAAGCCACGTCCAGGGTTTCACACACTGATCGCCGATCTCTCCCTTAACTGTGTATCCGTACGGAGTACCTAGGACAAAGGATTGCTTGGGTGCATAGTTTGCACATGGAAGCTACAATTCTGCGATCACAATTCCGACCAATAAACGATATGTCGACTCGTCCCCTGGCGGCTCTTTCGGGACAGATCTTCCATCTTCCGGAGCCACACGGCGGACTTCTGCAGTAGTGTTCTTCCTTCGTTGCGGTAGTAGCTTTCGCAGATAACGGGCGCCGTGGATGGCTCTGAGGAGTCATAACACTTCTAGGACTATTAGGGGTCTGAGAATCTCGTTGGGTGGGGAGGTGGGGGGGGGGGGGGCTGGCAAAGATAAAGCAGTTGACAATCACTCTTTTCGCAGCCAATGAGAGAATAAACGCGGGATCTGATTGGTATCCCGTCTACTGAGGCAATTGACCAAGGTTACGCCAAGATATGACTGCAGGACGCCCGCATATCATATGTTTACGTATTCGGCTAGAGCAATGCACCGCGATACGGGAGTATTATAGCAGTGTTAAAAACAGGACGTATTTTGATAAAGATGCGCACAAGGATTACTATAGGCATTTACGATATCGCCATTTTAAGTAGATATTCGAGCTCACATCAGCGGGCCTTTACGCGGCCCGCGGCGGGCCGCATGAGCACGCCCGCATTAGCACGCCCGTATTAGTAATGAGTTCAGGATGCGAATCCTGTAAATTCTATCACACCAAGCTGTTCATAACAGGCATCTTTAGTAGACGTGCATGATTTTGAGATTGGACGCGATCGCGGGGCCCCGTAGTAGAGAAGTGGAATTCTATAAGTTCATATGGAGGTGGAGGCTAAAAGTAAGTTCACATGCCAGGGGGCCTGGCCACTCTATAACAGTCGGTACAAACAATAAGATACCGTACTATTTAACAACTACGGGTTAACTAATGAAAAGCATTAGGAAGCAATCCTTACATAGTGCTTAATTTACTGACTTTTAAATATTGTTTATTACTAATGGCTTAAGATTGGGGAAATAGACTCTTTAAGATGCACGGTATTATCCGAGGCCCTCTTCAAAATAGCAACTAATATCGGCAAGTGCAGTAAAACAATACGCAAGGTTGCCTGTTAAGTGTGATTAAATGATTATCTAGTAACATGCGGATGTACTTGATGTGTGCTTTGATACCCGAATTCTTGTCGAGACGAGAGCGCTATAATCCTGCCTACATACAAGAGCTGTTCCTAAATCGACTAAACATGCCTGTTGCTTTTGCTGCTACTCCTGACTAGATGCCATTACTGCCGTCCAAGGCCTCGTAAATATATAGCATCTACGATTAGTCGGAGATATGTGATTACGTTCCTTTTGACCAAAGGTTGGGCTCTCATAGTTGCGTGTCGAGCTGGAGTTAGAGGGCCCGAAATTTGCGCTTCGTCTATATCCTCTTCTTTAAAGACACGGATGTGGCTGCGGTTGGCATGACGTGAATAAGATATAGGATAACTGTCCGATGAGACGCGGGTATGTCCATTTGGGTTTTCACTTCCCTATTATGTTGAAAGAAGGCACCAAAGAAATAACCTAGGGAAGTACTAATTATCGGCTAGACGGGAAAGATCCCTCGACTACTTACTCAAGTGGGAAATTGCTAACCGCACGCCTGCCGATTTAAAAAAGCCTCTAAGCTTTTACGATGTTCCATGGCTCTCTTTATCTTCAAGCAAGAAACCCTTTGTGGAACGGGACTAGTTTTACTAGTGGGGCTATTAATTATTTTCCCTAAGTATTTATAACGTATATGCATAGCGAGGGTTAGGGTTAGGGTTAGGGTTAGGGTTAGGGTTAGGGTTAGGGTTAGGGTTAGGGTTAGGGTTAGGGTTAGGGTTAGGGTTAGGGTTAGGG